CACTTAAACTTTGTATTATAAATAGTTTCTGATCCCAATTATCTTGTGAGTGGTCTTTGTTTAAATAATAGTGATAAAGAACTGTTTTGTTTTTTGTGCTTACTTAAAATGTTTTCCGTATACAAAGGCTGTTAAAGCAAAAGTAAAGCAAAAAAGTTTTGTAGCAAATTATATGATTTGTATTTGTTACACAATTTTTCATCACTACGCCCCATTAGTATAAAGGCATAATTTTGAAGTATGTAAAAAGTTTAATTTCGTAGATTAGAATTACAAAAAGGCAGTGCTATGAATGTTTTAAATGTAAATGCTAAATTAAATCTTAATTGTACTCATTAAATGTGAGCGTTCTGTTTTAAAAATCAATTCTTATAAATAACCAAATCTGGCTAGAAATAATAGCTGAGTTAACCAACTCTGCCTTCTAAGCAGCTGACTTCGGCTCTTTGCCAAATGTAAAATGTTGTGCGTTTCTTTTTGGCAAGCGTTTAGAAAGCGCCGCCGAAAACCTCGAAAGGGGTAAATGAAAAACAATTGGCCATATATGCATTTTCGGGCATGGCAGAAATGAAACAAAAAGTGTTTCTCTACTGAGTACTCTTCTTCGTACTACAACATTTCCTATTATGCAACAAACGGCATTGAATTCGAATTCTTAGCACTGATAAGCGGCGATCTCTCTCTCCCCCCGCCCCCGTCTACTAGTGGTTCTCGCTCGCACACGTGCTGTTGCCAACCGCTAGATGTCGCTCTCTGATTTTTGCACACTCAGCAGGAGAGAGGGTGACTAGTCCATATCTCTCTTTCGCTCATCTGTTGCTGAACTTGAAGACGACTGCGACGTCGACGTCGACGAAGGCAGCGCAGGCTAGCTGGCTGATTTCGGCGAACCGAACTTTCACAAGCAATTCAGTTGCCGTCCGGTTCAGACTTCTGACTTCCAAGGGAATAAGGATAAATTTTTTTTCGGTTTTGTGCTGTGATATAAAACACATACAAATAGTACGTATGAAAAAGCAAATTGAAAAATCAATTAACAAATTGAATACAATCGCAAATGCATTCATCATAGCCAAGCATTTAACCAACGCGTGTGATTCCTATTTCTTTTTTTTTTTTTTTTTAAACAACCAAGCCAAACCTTAAGCAAACTAAAGAATTTGCCTGGTTATGTAAAGCAATAAGAGTTGAACTTGAATCTTTAAAACTTTTTTTTTATTCTGCGGTGTGGTGCTACTTTTCGGTCTTATGCAATCAATAACAATGAATTAAGAATAAACTTAACCCTGGATTGTGTGGATACAACTACTCAGCCTTCGGTGGAAGCTTTCCACGTGCAACTGTAGAAGAATTTTCCAGCTGAGTGGCTATTACATCACGAGTTCTCTTTGGTCAATTGTTAAAAAAAAAAAAAAAGAAAAGCTTCGCTCTCTTCCAGACAATCAAAAGTTTAACCCGATTAGATAACGGTTGTTGTGGAAGAGAACAACAGCCAAAGCCTAAGAGAACCAAAGCTCTCTTTCGTTGCCAAATGTGTTACATAAAACCATTGTCAATGAAATGCTAATTTAATTTCGCTAAAAATTTTATTGAAACATACGGCTAAAGAAGAGCGGCGACGGCTGCTGCTCTTGAAAGTCTAAAATTAACGTAACACGCTTCAATGGCGAATGCCAGCTGCCAAAAAAAAGAAAAAAGTTTGGCCCCTATAGCCATCTTGCTCACACCCACACAAATGCCTATATACTGGCATTTTCCATTGAACTTTTTTCGATTCTATTCTCTTTAAAATTTTTTTTTTTCTGTGGTGTGGCAATTATGCAATCTCAATGAAAACCAGTAAAAGGCCGATTTATTTAAAGAGAACTGCAAATGATTTATGTCAATTCTACATAAAATAAATTGGATAAGCAATTTATTATTGCCACGTAATACTGTTTTCCCAACCACAAAGATAACTAAAACTCAACTCTTTAGTTTAAGGCTAAAAACTGGTTGGAACCAAGTTCGATTTTTGCTACAATCATTTATTCAGCCGTGTTCAAACCACGTGGCAACCGACCAATAAACTATATAATATTTTTTTTTTCTTTTTTGCACAAAACCAGTTTTGCCGGCAACTGACTACGTTCATAGCCATATAGTTAATACCTTGTACATGTATACTTGCTGCTGTCCCTGTCATATATCATCAAATATTAACCTCTAGTTTTAAGCTTTTATGTTTATATTTGTACTAACTCATTATGTACTGCATGTTTTTATCATTTTCGCGTTTCATTTGTCGCTAAAACCATTTTATTTCACCTCACACTGTATTAAACCCATTAGTGCTGATAAAAAAAAACAAAAAAAAAAAGTGCATGTTTTTCGGTTTCGGTTTGTGTATCGCATCTCCCACATATTATTATTTAGAGCATTGACAAATTTTCACATTTTCATTTGGCTTTGGGCTATTCTTCTATTGTGCCTTCTGCACCTGTGTAAAGAAAGTGAATCGTACATCCATCATACAAAATACCGTAAACGTATATCGTAAAACGTAACATTATGCAACGCATGGGGAGCGGTTCCTGCCTCCCATCCGTATATCAAGCACCACCTGCATGTCATTGGGATATCATCCATAACATCACCGAAGTCTCATCATCATCGGTATCGACTATCGGTATATCCATCCAACGCAACACTGCTTAAGAAGATGAGCGTGATTAATGAGAATTTCGGGCAATTGCGCGATGTGTTTACAGCAAAATGGGCAAGGATTTTGATGCTGTTGGATTCGTCAAGGATTTCGCTGCCGGAGGTATCTCCGCAGCTGTCTCGAAGACTGCCGTCGCCCCCATTGAGCGTGTGAAACTGCTCCTGCAGGTTCAGCACATCTCGAAACAAATCAGCCCCGACAAGCAGTACAAGGGCATGGTTGATTGCTTTATCCGCATTCCAAAGGAACAGGGATTCACGTCGTTCTGGCGCGGTAACTTGGCCAACGTCATCAGATACTTCCCGACCCAGGCTCTGAACTTTGCCTTCAAGGACAAGTACAAGCAGGTGAGACGAGTCGCGTCTTTAAGCCCTTTACCAGGCAGCTCAAAATCTGTAGCAAATCTGACGATCCAATGCTTCTGTAACGTAGGTCTTCCTGGGAGGTGTTGACAAGAACACCCAGTTCTGGCGCTACTTCGCCGGCAACTTGGCCTCCGGTGGTGCCGCTGGTGCTACCTCTCTGTGCTTTGTCTACCCCTTGGACTTTGCCCGTACTCGGTAAGTTGGAATGACTAAAAGATCTAAAACAATGAAAATTAACGAAATTCTTCCAATTTACCCAAAATAGCTTGGCTGCTGATACTGGCAAGGGTGGTCAGCGTGAATTCACCGGTCTGGGCAACTGCTTGACCAAGATCTTCAAGAGCGACGGCATCGTTGGATTGTACCGTGGTTTCGGAGTGTCCGTGCAGGGCATCATCATCTACCGTGCCGCCTACTTCGGCTTCTACGATACCGCTCGCGGTATGCTGCCCGACCCCAAGAACACACCCATCTACATCAGCTGGGCCATCGCCCAGGTTGTGACAACCGTCGCTGGCATCGTGTCCTATCCCTTCGATACCGTGCGTCGTCGCATGATGATGCAGTCTGGTCGCAAGGCCACCGAGATCATCTACAAGAACACACTGCACTGCTGGGGAACCATCGCCAAGCAGGAGGGTACTGGTGCCTTCTTCAAGGGCGCCTTCTCCAACGTTCTCAGAGGCACTGGTGGCGCTTTCGTGCTTGTGTTGTACGATGAGATCAAGAAGTTCTTGTAAATTAAATTATTAAATTATTCAAACAAGCAAAATACAACAACATACAACAACAATACATAAAAAACAAACAAGAAAAACTAAACACTACCAGCTAATTATGTTAGATAACTGAAAGAGAACAGCTAAGCAAAGTTTGATCTGCAACCAACACCTCTCTTACCAAGAACAACGGCAAGCAATAATAGCAAACCCTTCCTTCCTCCCTCCCCTTGATATAATTATAAAATTATATTAATTATAATAACTGGGAACTAATTTACGGAACGATGGCCAGAGTCAATAGAACAACAACAATACAACAGCAATGCTAGGGGCAGAGGGATTCGACTCAGCGCATGAGATATATACCCACTACACTGAACGACAAAACGAACATAGAACGACGATATTGATTAGTATTGTTAAGTTTGGGTTAGGCTATTTACTATATCCCTATATCATGTTGCTGGGTCGCGTCACATCTCCCCAGCCAAATCAGTGTTATCGATAAGATGCAAAGAATCGAACGAAGATCTGTAGATTCTTTAGTCTCCGACACGACAAACAAACTCAACTTCGGTTGGTTTAAAAATATATAAAAATTGATAAAAACAGTACAATGTTTTGGTTGTTTTCTTTCTGTGAAGAATTGTGTGCTTCTATATGACTATTAAGATTTTTCTTTCTGATCGCGGCAACCGTGAATATGTGTTTTGATTTCAAAAAAATATAGCATACTTTTATCAGGATTTCATAAAGATATTCAAATGGTAAATACTATCTTCGGCTAGTCGAAGTCATAAAACTTTCATGAAACTAAAAGCATCACAAAATTTGTTAGCTTTTAAAGAGAATTAAGAATCGCATAAATATTATTAATTACAAAAGCTTAATCTACACAAGCAAACTTAATGGTTTCAGAATGTAAAAATGTTCATAAACTTTATTTAATTTATTTCCTTGCAAGTGCAGAGGGATTTCCTCAGAGATTTTTTTCTTAAGGCCGAATGCAAACTAGTCACAGATTCTTAAAAGCCTCTGCTAAATAAATGATTCATTTTCTCTATAAATCAGAGACTGTTAAGTTCTTGGTATTTTTGATTTCCTGTTACACAAAATCTTTTGATAAGTTTTCAAGAATAATAAATTCTCTCAATAAAAGAAAAATTCTAATTTTTGCATCCAAGTAGGCTGAGGTATTGCCATCGCAGGTTAATGATTAGATCGAGCTCATAACAGTTCAGATCGTGTTCGTTGTTAAAGCAAAATTATAAGTAACAAAGAAAAAAATCTTTTATACATTTTACTTTAAAGCTTTGATGCTAAACTAAATCGTTTTTAAATTAGAAAAAACCAGTAAACAATAATCCAGTATGGGTGATGAAGGCGGTGGCGGCGGACATGGAAAGGGAGATCTTAAGTCCTTTCTTATGGACTTTATGATGGGCGGCGTTTCAGCTGCTATTGCCAAGACAGCGGTGGCGCCCATCGAGCGTGTGAAACTTATCCTGCAGGTACAGGAGGTGTCCAAGCAGATTGCAGCGGATCAGCGATACAAGGGCATAGTCGATTGCTTCATTCGTATTCCCAAAGAGCAGGGCTTCTCGTCCTTCTGGCGCGGTAACTTGGCCAACGTAATACGTTACTTTCCCACGCAAGCTCTGAACTTTGCCTTCAAGGATGTCTACAAATCGGTTCGTTTTTCCAGGAATTCCTATCAATTATCAATTTTTAACCCTTTAATCCATTACTGCAGGTCTTTCTTGGCGGTGTAGACAAGCATAAACAGTTTTGGCGACATTTTGCTGGAAACTTGGCCTCTGGCGGTGCTGCTGGTGCCACATCTCTGTGCTTCGTTTATCCACTGGACTTTGCCAGAACCCGGTGAGTTATGTTCTTGTAGATCATATACATTTCCTGTTTATTTGAATAATTCCTTACCATCTTTTGATAGTTTGGCCGCCGACGTGGGCAAGGGTGGCAATCGGGAGTTCACCGGTCTGATCGATTGCCTGATGAAGGTGATCAAAAGTGATGGTCCCATTGGCCTGTACCGAGGATTCATCGTATCGGTGCAGGGCATCATCATTTATCGTGCTGCCTACTTTGGATTCTATGACACGTGCCGTGACTTTCTGCCAAATCCCAAGAGCACACCCTTCTACGTGAGCTGGGCGATTGCTCAAGTGGTGACCACCGTGGCCGGTATTGCTTCCTATCCCTTTGACACTGTGCGTCGTCGCATGATGATGCAGTCCGGTCTGAAGAAGTCCGAGATGGTGTACAAAAACACGGCTCATTGCTGGATGGTGATTGCCAAGCAGGAGGGTATCGGTGCCTTTTTCAAGGGCGCACTATCGAATATCATTCGCGGCACAGGCGGCGCCTTGGTACTCGCCATTTACGACGAGATGAAGAAGTACTTTTAGCCCCGACGGACAGCTGTTTGTGGTAGGCCCATTTGGCCACCGCCATCAGCCTCACCAAATGGCACAACACGAGGTTGCGGCAACAGAAAATTAAACCATCAATACACCGGCTTCATCAATTCATAGAAGAGGACTGGGAACCCGATAAATTATATTTTGATTTGATCGACGGCAGGATAGCTGCCCCCTGTCCATCATCTCAAGTGTTTTTTTTTTCGCATTAGTTGAGAAAATACAAATAATTTATTGAACTTAAATCTTTGTTGCGCTCTTGTTTTGATTTCTCCGCGTGTTTGTGTTTTTCGGTGCATGATGTGTGTATTGACTAGGGTGGACCGCTTTCACAAAGACTCTCCTATTTGGCTAACCTTCTCGTAGCAGTCTAGCCCTTAACTATATGAAACTATAACAAAATGAAGGTTAAATCTGAGCCTACTTTGTCACACTTAATCATTCAAATCAAAAACAAAACCAAAGTATGTATTGAGTAAGTCGTAAGAATTGGAAAAAAAAAACCTTTTGACATAAGAACTGAAATGATATAATCATATACTAAATATATTTAGTTTCTTTGTGGCGCCTACCCTAGTCATTTTCGTAGATGTGTCCTTGTGCGGGTGGGTTTAAACTTAAACGTTAGTTAGGCATTTAAAGTAACATTAAAAACACATCAAGTCCATTTGCATGTGTCCTCGCATAAATTAACAACAAAAAACAGAAATACGTTGAAGGAAAAAAAAAAGGTTGAGGCGAAATTACAAATTACAAATTACAAGTACGCGATCTGCACTTATTCTTTAAACAATTAGAAAATATTCTACTCTAAGATCCAGCATTGAGTTTCGCGGACTTAGTGGGTGGCCCCGGACCTGTGGGCGAGGAACAGGAAGTAAGTGCCCGCCGCATAGGCCAGGAAATTGAACAGTCCAAAGACTCCGGCAGCAGTATTAGAACCGGAAGCAAAGCCCGTGGCATCCGACCATCTGGCCAACTGAACAATGAATCCGATGAAGTACAGTAGCGTCAGCACGGCGGTGGTAATTAATTCCTATTGTGAGATTAAGAAGGACTAACGATTAGTACTGGTAGTTCGGATGGATCAAATTCCTCCTCTACTCACCGCGAATATCCAGTTGACGGCCACGTTAAGGGACTCACGTATGCCCAGGAAGTAGGCGAAGATCAGCAGAATGTTTATAATGAACGAGAGCACGATCACAAACATGAAGAACGATGTGGCCGAGGTCAAAGGCGGAGCAGCCAGGGCCATGCAGATTATGCCAAACACCTGTTGATATACAGAGGTTAGAAAAAGAGTTATAGTAACATCAAATATGAATCATTATAAGTTTGAAGATTTAAGATTAACTTTCTTTCGGATTCATAAGAAGTAAGAAGTTTGGCATGGTAAGATTTCTTCATATATTGCCTTTAGTCTTAATGGGCAAAGTTAATAAGTTTTAGGAAATAGAAGATATGAGAAGTTTATACACATTTTAAGATCCATTTAAGGTAAATATTAATTTTGCCCACTTTTTAATCATTATTTTAATCACCGATTTCGCTTTAGTAAAATGCCTATTTAGGGTAAAGATCAATCTTTACTTAGCTAGCTATGGTTATTATTCTAGTAATTTTTCTCAATGATCAGCAAGATCGTGATCTGTAATTGAGGGTCGCCTCTTCAAGGCCATGTTTTCGTATCTGGAGTGAGAATGTCGTGATGTCACCTTTAATTGAATGCACAACATGAATGAAATGCCTGTGCCGAGAATCGAAGATTGTTCTCCGTCTAATTAAGCGGTGAATTCAAAGATTCTGCGTCAGTGCATATATATTTTGTAACAAAAGCCATGACTAGTATATAATTTTTATATTTATTTTTATTAAATTGTAATTTGGTAATCATAGAACAACAAATAAGATGTGAGAGTTGAAAATGTGGTTAATAATCTGGCAGCTTCAGCTTATATTATTTATATTTTAAGTTTTCTTAACACTAAGCTCTTATTATCTTCTGATTTACGTAGATGTATCACTAAATTAACCTTTCTTAATATACTAATCAATCTTTAAGATATTTTCAAGATTTTTGTATTCAAATTAAAGCAAATTGGTAAACTAAGTACCCCTAGAACTTAACACTGGCTGACAGTCTCTGATGACACATATTCTCCTGTGACTGAATCTCAGGTGACGTGTTTGTTGTTTACAACAATTAAAAAGCAATAAGCTTTTGGTGACACAAACAGCGGCAACAACAACAACAGCAGCAGCAGCAGCAGCAAAACACAAAAAATGAAAACAAGCAGGTGTGCAGTCGACTTCAGCATTTGGTTTTGGCTAAAACAAAAGGTACACGAAAAGTGAAAGCTGAAAGTTGTAGCCAGGCCAAAAGCGACCTGTTGATAGCAACATGTTGTTTCTGTTGCTGCCGCTGCTGTCTCCTTTGTTTTATTTTCTTTTTTTCTTTTTGCTATCTGGCAAACAATTAACTAACAGCAGCAGCAAATCAAAGGTTGATTGAACTGTCAGCAATGTGTTGATCTTGGCTTGCATTCCCACATTTTTTGAATGGTGTCCTCTTGATTTTTTTTTTTTTGTCAAATTTGCAGTTGACCGGACAGATGCGATCCACAAATTTGCGTCACTTTTTAAAAATAAAAGAAAGAAATTTGTGTCTGGGCATTATAGAAATTTTTATCTTTCGTAAACATAATTTATGGCTGCCTTTGTTTTTGTATATGTAGAGTAGTATGTATATATCTAACGACACAATTTGCATATGTGTCATATGTATATATATGCCATAGCTTATATACTTTTCTAGGAGCTATTCGAATCCGAACTGTGGTTTTGTAGTTCAAATTATATGGTAAAACCAGACATTCTGGGTACAGTTATTAGCCATCTGCCTTGTGGGGCATGAAACAGTGCGTAGAGAGCGAGTGCATCAAAGTATATCGATCACGGCTCCAGCATAATTATGTACTTTTATAGTGGTTTCAATGACGCGGAACGCAACTGAAATGTATCTGGTTCTTGGCCTCCGATTATACGGTCTGGGTGCCTAGCATTGTCTGCTCTTTCTGAAGTTCAATGGAAGCCAAAGAAGTTCCAATGGGCAAGCAAGCATGATCTTTTTTGACTTTGTAATATCATGTTCTAGCTATCTGAAAAGGATTTAAGAATTGAGGAACTACTTCAGAATGTCATAGTTTTAAAAAACCTTAAACTGATCATCTATAGAACGCTTTTATCTTCATTTTTAATATTAAACAAGTCCAAAATTCAAGTTAGCCTTGGCTATAACCTACTTTCTTTGTTAATTTCATAATTTAATCATCAATAACTCTGTTCTATTCCATAAACAATAAAGATAGCAAAGATTGTTCAAGATAGATAAGGGCAGTTCAGCGGCCAAAAGGCAAATAAACATACGATGCGGTTAGGAAAAATCATATACTCGTTGTATTTTCCCTACCATTTTGCACATCGGATTTGCTAACAACAATCTGTTAACAGGGCCAAGACGTAGCTTTAAAGATGAGCTCACCTTTCTGAGCGCAATACACTTAGTCAGCGTCAATTACCTAAAACGTACACAATATATATTTGCATAGCTGTGTGCACTTAGTACAGTGCGTTTCTAAACTGTAAGTGTCTATACTGTAAAGTCTATAAATAACAAGTTATTAATTAATAAGCTTAAAAATGATGTGTCACCATAGTAAGTGACCTAAATAGATACTAAATATTCCAATTTATATTCCCGATAGCTAAGTTAATACCAAAACGTATATTAAAAGATAATATGCTTTTACGTCTTTTGGGGCTTTGCTTATCAGTAAAAAACCAACTGTCTTACGTATATGGAACGCACTGTATGTGGCCTGAACACGACTGAATTGATGCCGCAACGATCGATCGCATTCTCCAAACCGCCAACAAACACCGGCAACTGTCTAAAGTGACTTTTGGGTCGACTACCCCCGATTCCCGCCTCCGCATTACTCTAAAGCTTTTTGTGGTAAGAATTTCTTGAATGACACCGAATGTGTGTCATAATTTCCGCTTTTGGCGAGAACATAAAAATTAAAATCCACGACAATAATGCCAAACAATGTTGTGTGCTATACGATTTGGCAGCTTCCAAAATATCTTACGTAATTGCTATTATAAAAAGTTCCCAAAGGCAGGCGACCAAGACCAACAAAACTTAATAATAAATCGTGTTCTTTCCGATTTGCATATATATATATATATTGCGTGTGTCTCTACATATATAAACATATATTTATCTGTATATATAGAGCACAAACTTGGCCGTGGAATGCATATATGCTCGGCCATCTATGTATATATGTAAATAAGTTAAGGCAATTCGGGGTCCAAAATGCTAATTGCCAGAGCAGAACGATAAGATATGGCCGATAGGATTCCACAAATTGGTTTGTCACTGTCCAAGAATTGTAATATTTTCGGGGGTATTTTTGGTTGCAGTGGGACCAAGGGGCGAATGAGTAATGGGCCTGGGCAAATTAGCAATCGACGGTCAGGTGTCAGGAATCGATTGGCTTATCACCACAACAGTGGCTACTAAAAGTGCCCTCTTTCACTCGACTCGTACAGGTGGTGGTTGCCTAATTATCGCCCACTTTTCACGGATAACGGAGCGTATGAGTAATGGCCGATTAGCTTGTCTTTTAACTATCTTAGAAGTTGATTAAAGTGAGTCACGCTCGGTTGACTATACTATATATTTTGAAAAAAGAATACAAACTAAATAGTAATAAAAGATAGTGTTGTATATAAAATACTTTGTAATCTTAAGTTAGATTTTTTTTTTAAGATAAAATTAGAGTTTCAGCTAAGGAAATGGCATAGAAAAGTATATTCAGTCTTAAAATAGATAGCCATGAATGTATATAAGCTAACTAAGAGCTTATTTTAACAATAACTAGAAAACTTGTCAATTATTAAATTATTTATTAAGAGGGTTAAGAGCAAGAAGTCTCAATTTCCGTTTGGGAACCATGCAGGTGCATATATGGCCGTGTTTTTGTGGCAATGTTAAGTGTACCACTTTTACATATTTTATATTGGACCTGCGGCTATCAGGAGACTATCGCTAAAGGCGGTGCCGATAAGATTAGCTGCCACAAATATCCCCTTTGACAGACAGAATGGTAACCACCGAAAAAATATAAACAAATGGCCATTTGTGACATCAATGCATTCAATAAGAGATAAGTTTTCGCTTTCATTTTCGCTAGATCAGTGGAAATTTTAAAAAGCTCCTTCTTTGTTAACTACAGGAGCCTCCTTTAACCTCCATAGATTCGCTTAATCGCCGTTTGTCAGGGCAGAAAATCAATAAATAGCACTTAATAAGCGACAGTTTATTGCGATGGTAATCATATCAGCGAGTTAACCACCCATTTCCGACCCCCCTATTTATTCAGTATTGATTTTTACTGACAACTGACGAGCGGTTAATAATGCATTTTTCATGTGTGCCCCAGCAGTTGTCGGCGCCCAACAAGGTCCTTCGACCTTGATACTATATAATAGTAAATACTGAAAAATGCTAAAAAGCTTGCTTATATCTCAAGAGGAACTTTCTACACCTGACCAGGTGACACACACACACACAGCTGAGTTACAAGTATCTGAGTACTTGCCAGTTCGAGTGACTTGTGTGTTGGCGTTGATACTGATGCATCGCCCACACACTCCTCACTCCATTTGTGCCCATTGCGTTTGTGGGAAAAATCAAAGCTTCAAATTCCATGCCAAATGGAGTTTGTCTAGAATTTCTGCAGGGGCAATTGGATACAAATAGAGTCGTCTCAATTGACCACATGGCCTCGAAGCTCACATGTTTGCAGTTCCCACAAGTTGTCTTTGCCCCCTATCTTATCCGCCTTAAGTCTAATGAGATCCTGTCATACCTATATCTTATATGGCAAATATATACTTATTGGTATATTTGTAGTATTGAGTACACATCGAGGGACACTAGGCTTTCTAAAGTCTCAAGATATCTCGATAAAGAATGGTGGGGCAAAGCAAACGGTTGATAAAACTGTTCAATTCATAACGATAACAGTTTTGTTGAGTATTCCCTGTTGTTTTAAACTTTTCTAAAGTTCTTGTTACGACTCATATTCATAATTTTTGTTTCAAAAAACAAGCCTTTTGGGAGAAAATAGAGCTCATAGCATTTCCGGCATGGCAATATTTTAGCTTTCAAGGCTGAAATATGAAACTTATCAAAATTGTTTTTGACATACGTTTCCCAAAAGCTGTAATAATTCACATTTTTTATCGTAATTCAATTTTTTAATTATACTTAATGAGATGTATAAGTATAAAATTGGCCACGTTCCAGAGACCATATTCAAAATGTCATAGATTTTAGATTTTTGAAGAATTTTGTGTTGGACAGAACACAATGTGGATCGTATTCAGTAATTTCAAAGTGACAAATGCCAAAAAAGAACTTTAAACTCAAAATAAAAATGGATTTTAATCGATTTAAACTGAATCTTAGCTTTTGTAGACCCTAAGGATATAACCTTTTTCCAGTTTAAAAGGTTTATCTTTTAAACTAAAGTACTTACAAATTGGATAATCTTGAGAATGCCTGGAACGGTGCGGAAATAGTCGACGTTTAGACGGGTGCCGCCCAAGAAGGTGTTATCGCCTCCAACGGTCGGATTTGGACCACCGGGCGGTCCATTCGTTGTTGTTGTTGTTGTACGCTCAATATTGACCACGGTCTCGACCATATTGTTGCTGTTTTTAGTTTGGGCTTAGTTTACTTTGGCGGGGAGTTTAGCTGGGCAAGAACTATTTTTAAACACTTGTCGCGATTGTCTTGTCACAATAAAATAAGACGGCAAAAAAATAACCAACGCTTTCTATATGTTCGCTGGTCGGGTCGATCGGCGGCTATATCTATATGTTGTTATATATATGTTGTATGTGTAAGTGACGCCCTCGCGCGCTTCTGATTTTCAAATATAAATCGTGTGTGTAGGTATATCAGTGTGCAGTATAGTATCTGGTAGTAAGCTATAGGTATTGAGCTATATATCCGTGCGCTGCGCTACGTTTGCTGGCGTTCTTTTGTCCACGGCGGTCGCTTGTCGACTGAACTGCGAACTGAACTTGCCGTCGCCGCTGCAGCCTAACGGTTTAACCGAGCGTCGCGCCATGCCGCTCACTCTCACTCTCGCTCTCGTTCGCACTCGCAGTCGCTCTCCCACTCGGCCAGTTAGTTAGTCGGTTAGTTAGTAAGCTGCGCGCGCCCTTTGACGACGCCCCTGCGCCAATTCACCTCCCACCGCCCATTGCCCCCCTCTCAGGGGGCAAACTAGTTTGCTGCGCTTGCGCCGCCGATTCTTACACACTGCACAGTGGGATAGATAGTAATTTTTTTGGGGTTTACTTACATATATTAGAGGGACTTGGGTTTTCAGTTCCGTAAACATTTTGTGGAATTTTCTATATAAGAAGAAGTATTGGATTGGATTCAGCTTTTGAAAATTAAAGATATATCATTAAATATAGTTTTAATTTGTTAAAGAACTTAAATTGAAGGTTTAAACTATTTCACTTTGCTATGAAAATTTACATTACATCAGCGTTTAATTTTCTAAATTTCTTATAACCAACGCGGTTATTTTAAATTAATTTTTTCAATTTTAAAATATAATATAACAGTAACGTACCGTAAATCAATATTAAATCAAATATTTCTAAAATGGAAATTTGTAGAATTAATTATTTAAAAAAAAAATTATCTACCAGTTTTATTTAAACTGCAATTTGTTGCACTCAGCTAAACAGCTCGTTTGCTATCTCCTTCTGTTTCGTTAGCTGGATTTTCGCCCTTCTCTGTCTTTCTTACGCCCACTGTATGACACCAGCAACTGGTTTAACGTTCTGATTCGACTTTTATGGCTGCCGCTGCAGGCCGTGGGTCGCCTCTGATTGGAATTCCTTAACTGTGGAGGGTATTGTGGAAGTTGGGGCAACAGTGGGTGGCATGGTTGTTGCACAGTGGTCACCAACTGAATAATTTGGCACCCTTTTGGATGTCAATATTTAAAGTATTTATATCTAAGATTGCCCACTATATGTTTAATATAATAGTAATAATATTAATAACACATAATATGTATATCCTTATAAAGAGATGACAAGCCTAGGAATAGCCGTCATCTTGTTCTGATCACGATCACGATCTCGGCCGCAGGCTGGCCACATGTATCATTAATATCGTCTCATCCCGCTTTCGTAATTGCAACAAAGTCCAATAAAGTGCAACATGGAGCTGGGTGGTCTTTTTTTTTTGGTTAGTGTTTATTTGGGTGCAGTATAAACTATGACAAAACTTGCCTAATAAATAGAGCTTAATTTTTGGGCCGCTCGAAGTGCCTAGACTATGAGTTGCGGATTAACTGGATAATAAGGTTTTGGTTAGGGTCATGGACTGGACAGATACCGACTCCGTGATCGGATCTCGTATACAATTTTGGTTCAGCTGCTCGGAAATCTGATTCGAATTCACGATAAGTATATGTGCATTGAATTAAGTGGTATTGCTTATTTTATAAATATAACTCTGCTGCCTTGCAAACGAAAGGAATTTTGTTTGGATCACAATATAAATCAAAAATATATATGTAACTATATATCGTATTAAGGTATGAACGCAAAAACTATCAGCGATGCGAATGTTTTGGAGCCCCCGCAAGCTGGGGGCACTGGGAAGGACTAGATAACAAGAGCAGCACGACCTGCAAACTACAACTAAGCGAAACTAACAGGGTGCACACTCTGCCAGGGATTAACAGTTTGACCACAGGAGTATTTCAAGTACAAAATATAGTAATCTGCAAGAGCAGACTTTAGCGCGCCTCCTTGGTGTCCAGCTCCACCAACGGTGGTACTGGCTCCGGTTCTGGTTCAGCGCTCTGACTTCTGCTTCTACTTTGGCTTGGACTTGGGTTGGTGCTCGGACTTGGATTGCTACTTGGACTGGGGCTAGTGCTAGGGCTAACAACTGGGCTCTTTCTCTTTGAAGGCGACGAGACTGCTGGAGTAAGTGGACTCGGCAGCGTCGGAGTGGAGGACGGAGTCTTCTCCTTTTCCTTTTCCTTGGTCTTCTCCGATTTGGGAGACTGTGTCTGTGGCGGCCAGTGGGTGGACTTCAAAACGCAATGGCTGCTGGTAGATGGGGAAAGACTTTCGGTAAGTGCAGCTAACGAGGATCCCGTAGAGGTAGAGGCAATATTGTCATTGTCAGCCTTGTCCGTTTTATCCGTATCGCGTTCCTTGTCTTTCTTCTCCTTCTCCATATCAGCAATTTTCTTTAAGTAGCACTTGTCCTGGGTGGGACACTCAAGGTGCACGCAATGGAAGATCTAAAGGAAAAGTTTATTAACTATCGAAATGAAAAATTGTATTTAACTCATTGAATATCTACCTCATTCGCTGTGTTACGAGTGCCCACAATGCGTATAAAGACCACGGGACGTGGGGTGAAGTGAAAGTTTTGCCAGGAGCGGGCCTTGTCGTTGCGTCGGTCCACCACCATCTGCCAGTCCTTGCGGTTTGTCGAAGTTTCAATGTAGAAACTGTACGTACGGTCATCGCAGTCCCACAGCAATAGGCGCATAGAGCCGACATGATAAGGTTGGCCCAGACGAACGACGATCTCTCCGCTACCCAATTGGTGGCACGTATAGCCAGAGTCCCAGTCATATCGCACGTAATCTCCGTTGATAAGAGCATTACGGGTGCGACTTACGCCGTCTGTAACAATGGCGCTCATCTCGATGGTGGCCACGTTTGCCTTGGGCGCCACAAAATGGTCAATTAGTCGCGGTACTTTGGCCGTGTGCATAGCTTCCAGTCCCACCACATGAAATACCTAGTCGTACCAAAATTAAAATCAAGATTAACGCACTGTAGTAATTATAAAATAGGATGGCTATTTCTGACCAAGAAAATGGATACCACCAAAAATAAAAAACAAAACTTTCTTACCCGGTTGACTGTGTTCTGAGTGCCCACCAGGCGAATAAACCTCACGGGACGCGCTGCGAAATATAGGTACTGCCAGGAACGACAGTGGTAATCGCTGTAGTCGACCACGCGCTCCCAATGCTGTTGGTCGCCAGATACCTCAATGAAGTACGAGTACGCCCGACTGTCGCTGTCCCAGAGCAGCATGCGGATGTGATTGATCATGCAGAGCGTTCCCAGCTCGACCACAATACCGGCATCATTGCTGTCCGTGATGCAGTGGCGCGTATAACCATGCTCCATGTCGTAAGTGGTCACGTCTCCGTCCAGCAGGGCGGTGCGGCACTCGCCCTGGATACAGCGCGACAAAAACTTGGACGTGGCCACATTCTCCTCTGGCCATAGAGCGGCTCTGTAGGGCAGTGTCTTTGATGTGCTCCGTTCATCGATGGCATCGAGGATCTTGTCGGGGTCCAAAATGCCCGAAGGGCGCACCACCTGCAGAAGGTGCTCGAGGTTCATTAGCGGCAGCCGCACGAAGCTCACAACCGATTTGATGTCTACGTTCGGATTGTAGCGACTCCATTTCCACACAGCCAGGAAGATCTGCACCTCGGGGGCAAAGAAGCAGTCGCGACGCAGTACCTCCTCCAGCGATTCCTGGAATGATTGCAAAATTATATATTTCAAAATCTATTATTCGCCAACACCAAAAAGTTTTCCAAAACAAAATTTCATTTGACCTTTTCTGGTACATTTAAAAGTTAAAATTTTTGCTAGGTTCTTCCCTTTAATGCGCATCAGATATATCAATGCGATGTCGACTCACCTTTGACAGGGTCTTAAAAGAGTCGTGCTGCAACAGCTCTGCCGCATTGCGGTCCATGAACATAAGGCAAACCTGAGTGAGCTCCTCAAGATTGTAGAGTCGTGCTGCGTCCAGGATCATGCATACATTGTTGAGGGCCAAATACTTTCGCAGATAGTTCGAGATGGCCATTTCCAAGTCCTGAAAGCCGTATTGATTGGCCATTCCGAGAACATCGATGACGGCGTCCTCGTCCAAGGTGGACAGAAGAAGTGTGCCCGAGTATATGTATCTCAATAGGACTTTAAACGGATCCAACGGCACCTCCAGTGGGATTTGGCGTTGTGTGGTCTCTGCCATTCCGCCGTAGAGCAATGCCCTGAAGTACTCACTACGAGCGGCAAGGACGACGCGGTGGGCTGGTAGGCGCTGCTCTTCTACGACGAACTCAACATCCGAATAACGGTCGTTCATGCAAAGTCGTGCCATGTCCGTAGAGAAGCGATCGCCAAGGTCAATTTCGTCAGTGAACTCTTGGTCCTGACGCGCTCCTGAGCCAGAGGCACTCGATAATGCATTTTGCATTCCGACGCACCCCTGCATTTTGTGGTGTCCCTGACTGCTCATCCTGGGAACGGGGATTTTGGGTTTGGCGTTCGCTTTATTTTACTTTATTTATTTCGGCTGATTTACTAGAGGTGGTCTACGCTGATGTAATATCGATATCCGAAATGATAATTGATAATTACTATGTCCCGTCTCGAAATTAACAAAAACTAAATTTAAAATTGCGTCCCGCCAAGAACAATGGGTGGTACGTAAAACAATTTCGGATGGTGGGCGAATTGGAAAAATTACCCTGGACCATCAAGCAATTAAATTTTGAGAATACAGACCCCTTTGGGTTGGAATAAAGCGGGCAGATTCTAATGATAGCTACGCAGCACAAGTTTTAGCGGGTACACCTACCATCATCTGCATGCCAATCAATAGTCAGATTTCAGCAACCACACATAACATGTATATCGATAGTTACGTATAGCGAGTTCATAAACCACGACTTACGTATATTTTGATTGCATCGATAGAACATCGATTTGCAATCCAGCTATAGCAGTCCAGCAATGGTCACTCTGAATACGAATTTCAGCCCGTTAGGTCGAAAAAACGCAGAGCGAAAAAAACAACCACAGCGAAGACGCACACACTCATACACCATCGCATCGATATTTGCCATTGTTGAAAAAGTAAAGCGAAAAAAGTGAAAACTAAAAGCTGCGTTTCTTAGCCAATTACCTTTTAATCACAATCATGAAGTTCCAATACAAGGAGGAGCACGCCTTCGAGAAGCGTCGCGCTGAGGGCGACAAAATCCGTCGCAAATATCCAGACCGTGTGCCCGTAAGTATTCGAATATGTATATATATAAATGAATATGTATATGTATGTGCGTGCGTGTATGTATGGCCAGTTTCTGTGTATGCGTTTGTTTTGCGTCTTTTTTTTTTTTTTTTTTTGTTTGTACCGAAGAAAATCAATACTGCGCATATTGGTTATTTCGATGATTGTTAATATTTTTACAATTACACATCAGGTGGAAGGGAAAATTCGTGCAAAGAGACTGCATATAATGCATTACAGCTGGGGAAAACATTTACAGAAATCTCAAATTCAGTTCAAATGAAAATTGTCCCCCGCACACACACAAACACATACAGATGTACAGAAGAAAAAAAAAACAAAAAGAGAACAAAGCATCCGTTTCACTTGCTCAGCTGTTAAGGTGTTGTTATTTTTCAGAGCTAGATTACATCTGTTCTCGCTCTTTCTCTCTCCATCCCCTTCTGACTTCCTCCCTTTGCACAGAAAGAAAAATGTATATATATGCTATTACTTATTGTTTATTATGTAAATGAAATGATGAAAGCTTATTTATTTAGCTGAAAATATAAAAATAAACTAAACAAAGATTTGAAATCAGTAAGCTAGACTTTTTTCTCTGTGCACCAACCAGTTGTTTTTGATTTTAATTTCGTTTGTTTGCTTTAAAAACGAGCGAGTACTGCGCATAAAAAAAAAGTCACTCACTAATACACACTAGAGCTACTTGTTTTGTTTTCGCTTATATGTATGTACACAAACTGCGACTGGAATTAGTCATAGATGCACTGAAAACAAGAAAATAAAACCAACAGAGGAGAGTGTCTCTCCTTCATTATTGTTGTTCTGCTATTTCACCACCTTATCAGTAAAAACTCCTTTCAAAATATAATATTAATAAAAAGTAAATGCTGATGAAGGTGCCCTATTAGCAACGAGAAGTGCAATATATTCGCTCTTGATTTCGATTTTGATTTGGTCTACATACATATATGCATATATGCACCCCAAATATTGCCCGTGTCCGAGTGTTTATTTTTGTTTGTTTTTGGCAAGTGAACAAGTGCCAAATCGCAAATCACATAACAGCTGAGCGAGGGGCAAGGCCAGCTGGTCGGACCATATATATCCGAATTCTATATAGTATGTACTATATCATACCATAATACCTTGATTTCGGCCAATGACGCTAATGAATTTCATTGGTTGATGCAAGGGGGGAGGGATATAGTGGGAGGGGATAGCAAATGCGATAAGCAGTTTGCTAATTTCGTATTCATTATGTTCGGCTGAACCCCGCTTCCTGTTCCAAAGTTGGCCAAAACCAGTTTATCGATATTTTTGGCCAAAGGCTAACTTCAAACTAATAAGCCCTGGGCTAGAACGGTTTGCCTAGGCTACTTAACTAGCATAAATTCTAGTTTAAGAACGAATTTCAATTTTCAATTAGATTTCAAAAAGTAGTTTAATAATTAAAAACGATGCTTTAGCTTATGGAGAAGCTAGTTATAATGATAAAAATGCAGATTCTTTAATTCAAAACATGAAAGATATGATGCAAAATCAAAGCTGTTTAGAAAAAAGAAGGAAGAACAGAATATTTTGATCACAAAAACACGTTTGAGTAATTACATGTTAAAACTAACGAAATAACTAAATGCAGCACGAAATTAGTCACTGCAATTTCAAAATTACTCATTCTAGTCCCTGAATTCATCACCTTTATGTTTGTTGTTTTCTCCAATACCAACTTGTTTTGTCAAAACACAAAATCGTTTTCAACAATTAATAAAACTCCTTTTAGATACTCGATTTGCTTTAATTTAATATTCTGTTATGTATTTGTATTCCTGAGAATTAAACAAGTTTTTGTATTTTGTGTTAACCAAGAAAAAAGTTTAAATTTTTGTAAATTTCAATTCAATTTTTGTAAGATAATCGAATTCCAAGGTAACACGTATTCGAGCACACATACGCCACTTGGTTTTACTTTGAGAATTGCAAATGCCATACTAAGCCAAACATGTGGACATTTTTCGGCACGTAATGAGGTCTGAAAAGTGTGCACATAATAATTAAGTCGACCAACTTGGACTCACCTCCTGATTTGCCCCCTCCACTTTCCGTATACTTACAGGTGATCGTCGAGAAGGCTCCCAAGGCGCGCATCGGTGATTTGGATAAGAAGAAGTACCTGGTGCCTTCCGACTTGACTGTCGGTCAGTTCTACTTCCTTATTCGTAAGCGCATCCACCTGCGTCCCGAGGATGCACTCTTCTTCTTTGTGAACAACGTCATTCCACCAACATCGGCTACCATGGGCTCCCTGTACCAGGTAACTACCTTCGCTTAGTATTTAGTTCAAGAAAATCTAACGCTTTTAATTTTCGCTTCTAAAAAGGAACACCACGAAGAGGACTATTTCCTGTACATTGCCTACTCCGATGAGAATGTCTACGGCATGGCCAGGGTCAACTAACTTTGCTCCGGTTTTCATCGGAAAACAACCCCCTATACAGAAATCTATATATAAATAAAATATATTTTGTGTTTAGCATGCAAGCTTAAAGTATGGAAGGCGAGTTAGCTAAACGAATTGAGAAAAACCGCAGGAAATGCCACCCAAAAAGAACTTGAAAAATGATCTGAACACCAGGGCAACAAAAAAATCAAACAAAAAACAGAAAACTACAAAAAGAATTGTTATGTGAATATTATTTTATATATATATATTTTTTCTAAACGCGTTAGTATTTCAATTAAACTCTGCTTTGTCCTACCATTATTAACCCCCCCAAGATCTATTCACACAACTTTCTTTGGCCCATCTTATTTCCATTGCTGTACTTGATCCGTGCGATTGCACCATGTACTTGACTTTGTTCGCTTATTTCAATGATTTCACATTTTTTTTTTCACAATACAACAAAATTTTGTGCATATTTAGTGTGTATGGTTACGAATAGGACTCTCTCGGTTAAGTGTATGGTAATTAATCTATTATTAAATAAACAAAAACTACAAAAATATACATGTTGAGTGTTTATGATGGGTAAATGTGGGATTTTTCTTACGTTATCTGGTTTCAGGTAGCCATTAGCTTATATTATCATGAAAATGTTACTGATGGAGAGATAAGTGTCAGCAAGAAGTTACTTCGTACTGAATTTCTTTTGTTGAAAGAACAATGAATCCTTATCTCTTAAAAATGTAATGAGTTTGCACAATGTGTTTATGGTTTTTGTATTATTAGTATGTTAGGAACAAAATCAGTGATTGATTTAAATGCTTTATAATTTATTAATGTCTTCTGATAGAGATGAATTTGAATTAGAAACTTAATATTGAATTGATAGTTTTATGAGTCATATTAATTCAAATTTAGTATCTACCTTAAGAAAGTAACTGTTAAAGTATGATCAAACCTTGATTAGCAATCTGGGATATATAAATTATAATTAATTCATTAACAATGATAATTATGAAGATAAAAAATATAATTCGAATATATAGTTGATAGTTTGATAAATATATGACTGCTGGCATATGGCCAGATCACCATGGTAACAATACAAACGCGTTTAGGCAGTGACTAATTCGCTTTGTTTCACCATTTGCCAACTAATTGCAATCTTATCGCCACAAAGCATCTTGTTATCCATTTTAAAAACTGGCGCCCATTCAGCTGTTTTATGGGCACCACTGTTGGCGAAATTCGGTCACACTGCTCCGTGCTTCGAACCGAATCATCGCAAAACAAACATTCCAACCGATAGGCAGGATTTTTGAAAATCTGGTATCACAGAAAAGTTAAAATTATTAACAAATCGCTGTTTAATGTGAAACATCGTGCCAAAGTGCAGTAGGGCCGAGCCAAAACACAGACAGTCAAAGTAGCAGGTAAATCGAATACACCTGGTATGCAGCTAGAAAACCAAAAAGCCGGATAAAAGCAGACTAGTTACAAAACAGCCCGAAAAAAGGTGCAAAAAGACGGGCGAAAAGATAGTAACTGCTGTGAATTGTTTGTTTTTGCTGTGCTAGTGTTGTTGTTGTTGTTGCCCTTGTTGTTGTTGTAACTCGTGACGTTGGAAATTAGTAACAAAGTCAAGACAAAAAAAGTGGTAGTTGAGAGAATTATGTGTGAATGCAATTGATTTTTGTGCCTTGTCTGGTTTGTTGTTGTTTGGGGGTGGTTTGAAAAAAATAAACTCCGCCCGCAAAACCAAGAGCCACCCACCACCCCTCGGGTTTTTTGAACTCCCTCAGAAAAACAGCTGCAACGTTTGCCACACTACAGGAGAAAAAAGAATACGAGTTTAAGTGAGAATAAGTTAAAGCCATTGAAAACTCAATTTTAACGCTTATTAAATTATGCCAAACACGCTGACTAGACCAAAACCAAAACCAAAAAAATAAAAAAAAAAAAACAAGAAAAGTGAAACAACAGCAGTCGTGTTATTGTCCACTCAGCTTGTTTTTGTTGTCTTTGTGTCTCTGTTTTTCGCTTCTGTTTTGCGCTTCTGATTCTGATAGTCTGCTTCTTTGCCTTCTCAGCCCTCCTCCACCACAACCCCCTTACTCCCACCATTCCGCTTTTACGCGCATGTGGATTCGTTTTATTGGTGCTCAAGTATCGCATGATAATCGCACGCTACGTCCCTCGTAATTGTTGTTGTAATCGCTGTCGTTCTGCTTTTGGAGCTTTTGTTGTTGTGCTTTTCCGCTAGCTACGCTAACAGACCCTCAGCCACACACACACAAACACACGCCGCTAGTTTGCCGAAAAATTGAAGCCGTTTTCCCAGGGAATCAAATTCAATTAAGAAAACTATCAACTAACCCGCATAATGTATGAAAAATAATCAAAAGCAAACAAGCCGAAGGTTTTACACACTAGCAGTTGTAAGGGAAAAATTGTTTTTTTTTGGGAATTTACAGTTAAGACAACTATACAAAAAAAACATCAAAGAATTTTACGAATTAATAATCTTAAAAAATCAAATAGGAACAATAGGTACGAATTTTATAATGATCAAAGATCAAATAGCACTTGTAGTATTTAAATCTTTTAAAGGTGAAGATGAATGAATTGAATTTTGTTGAATATAAATCTATCAAAAATTACTTTTATTGGTAGATAGGTTTTATACACATTTCTTTATTTTATGAAGTGTTTTTGTTTTGTTTTCAAATTTTATATATTTTGTAAAATACACACATATAGTGTGTTTTGATTTCTCTATCAACAATCTTTAGCCTGTATTTACCTATAATTTTATATTTTCTAAGAAATCTGTGTAACTTTGACGCAGCTCAGTAAGTAAATTTTCAGAGTAAATAGAAAAAAGAACTAGGAAAATAAAGGAATTCTAAACATTTGTGTTTTGCTTATCAAAAGGGTTTTTTGTAACCCCTTTTTAAAAGTATATTGTTAAATATATCATCAATATATAATTCGAAATGTTGTCATTTATTACCGAAGGAGCTTAAATATGTATTAAATAAAATAAAATATAAATTAAATTAATGAGTTTTTCATTTGTTAATTAATCCTTTAAAGCAGATTCCAAAGATTACTAGCTATACTGATTCGATAAACATTGTCAATTTATCTCAAACCCTTAAGCTAAAGCTTAAATTAAAGATTAGTTTAGTTTCACCTTATCAGTGCCAGTCTAGATGCCTACTTGTGGGACCTTTGCCTTTGGCTAAATCATAGTACCCTCTGCTAGAGCATTGACGCAAACATACTGAAATCAGGGCAAACTCGACAGAGCCAAACGAAATTAGAGTAGCACATTCACTTTGCACCCGCGCCAGCCAAAGCTTATCATTTTATCAGTGCCACAAACTGGCATTTTTCTTTTCGGTTTCGTTAGTTTACAACCACACAAATAAACACTCGAAAGAGTGTGCCGGATGGTCTAAATTTGAAATTTTTTATTAAATTACCGGTCACAAAGTTGAGAACCGATTCGAATAACCGATTGGGCGTTCATTCATTTATTTATATTTTTTATTTTATTCCTCAAAACACAGCCGCTTGCAAGCCAACCGCTTAAATGTCACAACACTCGAAAAAGGAGAGCAGCGGCAATAGCAGTAGCCATGTGGCCCAGGGTAATCGGCACAGCAGCGGAGACAGCAATAGTACCACCAACATCAACAACAGCAACAACAAAAGCCACAAACGGCAGGCGGCCAATGGCATTGTGAAGGCACAGTCAAACTCCCACTTCCACAGCCCAACGTCCTCGAAATCGACCAGCAACAGTAACAGCAGTTCCAGTACAAGCCTCAGCAGGAGCAGCATGCAGGACACCAGCTCCTCGGCCACATCTTTGCTAGCTGGCAAGGCTAAGAAGAACCAAAAAGACAAACAGCGCGAACGGGAGCGCGCGGAACGTGGCCAGTTGGTCCTCTGGCGACGACCCCTGCAGACCACCAAGTACTGTGGTCTCGAGTTAGCAGCATTGCTGAGGACGTGGAGCACCAGGTGAGTTAGGATTTTCTTTAGTAGCTTACATTTATTAATCCTAATCATTTACAGACTGCTGCAGCAGCGTATCCTGCTGGCCGCCCTGATAGTATTAGGCATCGTATTTAGCGTAATTTACAAAATAGACGGCCCCCACCAGTTGGCCATCGAGTTTGTGCGTCGGAACACCTGGTTCTTTGTCTATTGGCTCGGCCTGGGTGTACTATCCTCGGTGGGATTGGGCACTGGACTGCACACGTTCCTGCTCTACCTTGGGCCGCACATAGCCAGCGTCACGCTGGCCGCCTATGAGTGCAATTCTCTTCGATTCCCACAGCCACCGTATCCAGATGAGTGAGTAGTTTTGTTCATTTCCTTTGGTTTATAGTGTCCTTACCACTATTTCTGTCAATTCATAGTATTATCTGTCCTGAAGAGCCCTACGACAAGCGGGTGCCTAATATCTGGTCCATTATGTCTAAGGTCCGAATGGAGGCCTTCCTCTGGGGAGCGGGCACAGCCCTGGGCGAGCTGCCGCCGTACTTTATGGCCAAGGCGGCTAGACTTTCCGGCTACGATCCAGAGGATGCCGAGGAGTTGGCCGAATTCGAGGCCCTGAACGCTAAGCGTCACCAAAAGAACCTCAGTCTGATGGACAAGGGCAAGCTGTTCATGGAGCGAGTGGTGGAGCGCGTTGGATTCTTTGGCATCCTAGCCTGTGCAAGCGTGAGTGGTGAAAATCGCTATCCAGCGTGGTTTTTCAGATTATATATATGTATATATGCACTAGTAAAGTGATTTGTGATAACTTTCCAAGAACTTTTCAAAAGAATATTTGTATGAATTGAATTTAATATTCTTATAAGTCGTAAATCTTCCTTACCTTGGCCTACGAATATGATAATAACTATTATTTACTCTCTTGCAGATTCCCAATCCCCTGTTTGATCTGGCAGGTATTACCTGTGGCCACTTCCTGGTGCCATTCTGGACGTTCTTCGGGGCCACGCTTATTGGCAAAGCGGTGATCAAGATGCACATCCAGAAGATCTTTGTGATCATCGCCTTCAACGAGACCCTGATCGAACGGGCCGTCGATCTGTTGGCCTCGCTGCCGGTGCTCGGCCATAAGTTGCAGGAGCCGTTCAAGTCTTTCCTGAACAACCAGAAGCAGCGTCTGCATCGGCAGCAACGTGGAGCGCCTGGTTCTGGAACTGGAACGGGAGATTCGGGCAATTTGCTGTCCAAGATTTTCGAGACATTCGTAATAGGAATGGTGTGCTATTTCGTGGTATCCATTGTAAACTCATTGGCCCAAAGCTATCACAAGCGGTTACACAAAAAGCCGGCGAGCGGAGTAGCTTCTGCGACCACACCTACTCGGTCGGCGGGGGCGAACAAGGCGAAGACCGGCAAGCAGAAAGCTTTGCGAGACTAGAAATCGTTTCGGTGGGAATGTCTTTTGTTGATCGTGTTTGTTCCGACACCGTGATCACCCTTTTCCTTTTCGTTTAAGTTATTTTTGTTTATTGCGGCTTTCGCTCTTAGTCAAATTAAATATTATGTGTGACTGCGACCGCGAAAGAAAGAGATGGCCAAACAGCCAGGGAAATTTACCTTGTAAACTAGATTAGGAACCAAACTAAATGCGGATGAAGCGAAGCAGCCACACATTATATATTTTAGAAATGTACAAAAAAAAAAAAAAAAACAAACAAAAAAAAAAACATAAGAAAACAACCAACCTTAGCAATTTTTTTTGTGTGAACATCGGAATATCGTTTTTGCTTTAGCGAAAGCGAGTGGGACGCAGCTAGTCGCGCCTAATGAAAAGTAAATTCTGCAAAAGTTGTTGCGAAAGACAAACAAGCCAGAGCAAACAGAGAACCCAAAATAAAATCTAGCCAGGAGCGCAAAAAAATAAAAATAAAAAAGTATGAAAAAGATTTAAAAAGTGCTGAAAAATAAATGAAATATGAATATACAAATTAAACCCGATTGTATGACTAAATTTAAATGGGATTTCAGTGGGCCAATAAATGGAAATGTGGGTAAACTTTTGACTGTTGGCTGAAGAAGTTTACTACAAATATTAATAAAAAACTCTTATATAAATATTAATAAAAAGTAAAATAGTGAATAATACATTTTAGATACATAAGTAAAGGCCTGTAAATTGAATGTACGAAAAAGTTTAAAAGGAACGGAAGTCGTAACTAGAGGGAGAGTATGGGTAAGCTGTTAAATCTAATAAAAATTAGTAGATATATTAGTTATACAAATTAGCTACATTTTGATACTTAAGGCAATAGAAAATAATAAGCTTCAGTTACAAACTTTAACTAACTAACTTTTATCCTTAAAATTGATTAGTTTAAAATCTTTTAAACAGGTAAATTGAATCTAAAGAAACATTAAAATATGATTTTAATATTAAGTTTTGTAGCTAATAGAGTTTAGCAAGTTATAATTTGCTAATCCAAGTTCAAAATTTCTTAACCAAATACTTTTCTTTTCCTAGAAATTCCAAATCCAGCTATAAACCCTTAAAGACTTCTCAGTACTCAACCAGAATGGACACAAGACCTAGATAACATCAGTTAGCAGCAGAGGAAATCAAGGCTAAAAACTAAAGATAATACTCGTTGAATTATCAAGAAAAAGAGAGGAAGGACCAAAGTTGATTGCTCGGGTTTGGCTGATACCCAGAAAATCCGTTATCCGTTATCAACAGTTGGCTAACAGCTCGAAATCAAGCTGGCACTCATTAAGCTAAATAGCTACTGGCCCATGGCTACGGTCCTCTCACTCTTCCTCTCTCTTCTAGAATCCGGCTCGAAGGACAATTGCCGCTGCTGGCATGTAATCGTGGCGGTGAAGGCAGGAAGGGAGGTGGTGATGATGCGGACGCGCTTTGAATGCCTAATCCTGTCAACAGTTACAGCTAACAAAAACAACAACAACTGGCAGGAAGGCAAACAGCGATGACAACTGCCAGCGGCAAAAAAACGGCGAAAGCCGTCACACAGTGTCAACACTACACAACACACTCCTGCTTGGATGGACATGGAGATGGACATGGACATGAACATGGAGATGGGCATGGGACTGAGGGACAGAGGGTAACGGGCAAAACGGTTGAGACGTGCGAAATGTTAGCCGCCCCAGAACTTTGCACGTACGTTAAATATTTTCATTTAGCTGTCAGCATTTATTTAAAATGGACACACAGTCAAAGAAAATGGGGCGCCACTGGTCCCGTACTACAGTGGAGACCCGTTATTGCTGAATAAATTCCACTTGGCTGGCTTAGGTGGGTGTGGCACCTCTCAACCACATGCACGCAACGCACACAAACACATATGCACACACACACACACCAACGCCGAAAGACAGACAGATAGACAGACAGACAGAGGCAGAGACAGGAGTCGCAGGACATGTACGTGAGTGGCACGGCAATCGCCTGTCGCCTTTGACATTAGTTGATACACCTCGCCATAGCAAGGGGCAAAGCCTCCGTTTCGGTTGTAAAACTTGCACCTTCCCCAACGTTTTCGCACCACTTCAGCATCCTTCACGAGAGCTGGCATTTCAGACGGACCTTGAGCCTCGGGGCAAACAGAATCTATGCAGAATTCTATCTGCTCCAGCTGGTATGGCATTCTGTAAGCTAGAACTCTGCTTCTGAATCCCTTGCTGCATGGAATTCTGCACTCTTTTACCGAGAATCGGGTTCTTGTCGATGGATACGCATTAAAGAAGTGTTTTTTATTATCCTCCTTCAACAAAAGCCCCACCGGGAAAGTATGCAATACAATTATGTTGCGAGGAAGCAAGAGAGAAAACCATGCGGCTGAGAGAGCGGGGGAGAGATAAACAGACCGAGCCTTTCTCCAGTGCCGACCATAAGTCTCTTTTAAAGCTAACTATGATCTTGTATTTAGTCTATAAGCAATTTGATAAGAATTTTTGTATTAAATATCTGAATAAAACAAGTTAAAAATGAATTAAAGAAAACATTTGAATGGTTGAAAAGAGGATTAAAATGTGAATAGCAAAGGTGTTTAAACCTTTTCAATCGAGAAAATCTTTAGAAATTTATGTGTTTATATTCTTTACTTTGTGGTCTAAGGACGAAAACAATCAAAAGGGCATCCTTATTTTTAGCTTCTTGAAAGAAGGACAAATTAGCAACACTGTCGGTTCGTTTTGGAAGAGCTTTGCTTTCGGTCTGTGAGCGTGCAAATATGACAAAGCTCCAGCACAATCCGTCCCATTCCCTCCCCTCAGCCACGGTCCCCGGCACTTTGGTATCTTTCTGCGCGTGGCCATATGGCCGTTAGCCGACTCCACAGTGCAACAGGCAAGGGGAGCTGTGGAGGCCGTCAAAGCGATAGGTTTTAGTGATGCCCCTTTTGGATCTTTGAAGAGATCAGCACGACGAGCTTGAATAAAGCAATCAGGGTTTTAAATTAAAATTCTAATACATAAAAGTAATTGAGAGTACTCTAACTCTTATTGATTTCTAATAATCCAATGTAATATATTGGCTTAAGATTAATGTTAATCTATTTAAAAAGTCAACAGATTATAAAGATTCTGATTGTTACCCTGTAAACCTTTTAGCTTTCCATAAATTCAATAAGTAGCCCATAAGATTAAAAGTTAGTTTAATACCATAAAGTTATCTGTTATAAAATACTGTTTACTGTTTTTTCCACATTAAACTTCGATCACATATCCTTTTTCGATAATTTTGAAGTGCCATCTCTGGCGGCTGCGATAACGGTTAAAGGCTGACTGTTTGGCCGTTCGCCATTCAAACGCGTTGCGTCAGTCGCACACCAGCTGCTCAAGCACTCGGACGTGTTTTCGCATCCGTTTTGCCACCGTTACGTATCGCTTCGCAGGTTCGCAGCACGGCAGCTCGGCAGGTCCGTGCCGCCAACAACAGTTGGCCAAAACAGAATAGCATTAACAATAACAACAATAACAACTGGCCATAATCGGACTAGATTTTCAACGGGCTGTGGAGTCTGCCAATACAAATAATATATAATGTGACAAGACACGATGGACTTCCAGAATCGCAACAATACGGCCAACAAGTTTGTCTGCCCCAGCGACAGACAATTGGCTTTGCGTGCCAAGTAAGTACGATTGCAATTGCAGTGTATGCCACAGCATTATCCTCGAAAATGGCATTGAAATGCAACAATTGGCTTTCGTGTGAGTGCGTCACAGCAGCTGCAACGATAACAGTTTTTGTTTTCCAATTACAGTTTCTTTTTGTTGTATTTTTTTTGCGTGTTGTATGTGTGTGTGTGTGTGTGTTAGTGTTAGTGTTACTAACAACAACTAGTGACAACTTGACAAAAGCTTTAGTCATAATTTAATTAACTTTGACTGTCTGTGCGTGTGGTTGCGGCTGATTAACCGAAAGCCTAATCAAATCAAATACATGTGCGCAATCACACAGCGATAGCCAGATAGTACATATACTATATATACTATATAGATTGTCCCTGGGATGACGACCACATATATTCAAGGAAAGCCGCATGTGACCATGTGTTCTTCTTTCTTGTTTTTTTTTATTTTTTTTTTTTTTTTGCGCCAACTCTAATCATTATTGTTGCATGCTGACAGATTAATTAAATTTTAATAACGCTCATTTTTTTACGACTTTCCCAACCGAGTTTTATGGCCCCTCGCTGAGGCTTTCATTTATTTATTGCAATTGACGGAGAGCTAAATAATAATAAAAAAAAAAAAAGAAAACAGAAAAAGAGAAAAAGGCGCGGTGCCCATTTACATGATTTGCAAAGCACCCACAAAAATCCTCCAATCCACAAAAACGAAATGGAACCATTTGGTTCCCAGTCCAGCCGAGTACGAGTATATCCCCAACATATGCTCGTGTAGCATACTGTTTGGGGCCATGGCTGGTGATGGGGCTGGGGCCAAGCAACTCGGCTCAAATCAATCCCAGCTGACTGTAAATGCGACTTGGGCGCATTAAAAATACAAAAAGCCGCACACACAGACACGCACAGCGGGAGTTAGTGGGTGTGTTGTTAGTATGGTATGGTATATAGGTGGTTGAAGGGGGGAGAGTTGAGAGGTGAAGGCTGGCAGGTTTCAAGTGTGCAATTTACACTTCCGCTCGCCCGCTACATTGTAAGCACTCACGCTCTCGCACACGCAGACAGTAAAGTTAGGATGAACCTTGTTTTCTAGCTGGGAGGATTACAAATCCATGCTTTTGAACTCTTTTTTAATGGGAAAACAAAGGAAACTATAATTGAAAAATTATCAAGGCTTAATATCAACCGTTTTCAATACAGTGTTGTATAGATTTTTGGAGTACTATCTCTAGTTTTATACCTTCAATTAAGTAACGTTGTAAGGAAACATAACCAAACCAAGGTCCACCCTAACACACAGCAGCATAGAAACAAAGAGCTTTTGACTTTGCCACCGAGTAAGGGGTTTTAGGGAGGTCATCGTGGACCTGGAGTGCCTTACGGTTTTGGGATTGCGGGGAGCACTGAGAGCTGCTGCTCGTGGCATTGGCTCCGTACTTGAAATTCAAATTACAGCTCAAGGGAGTCAGGAGTCAAGTCCCATACCCACAGATAGTGAGAGAGAGAGAAAGCAAGAGAGTCAAGGAAGCGAGAGTGGAGCTAAAAAGTGGCAAGTGGAGAATTAACGTGCAACTCAAATCGCGGCCACATGCCAGACGATGTTGCCCCCGTTACTTTCTGGCATGCTTAACTATGCAAATGAGAAGATCTTTGCCAGGCCACCAAATCTGACGACAAGCACTTTGACTTTTATTAAATTCAACTCAAGCCGCAAAGTAACAAAGGCGACATATATTTGGAAATCATCTTAACGACAAGGGGATGCTTAAAAAACAATGGAAAAGTTGTATTTCTTTGACTCTGAAATATAATAAAGCTTCAGAGTATGGAAAGCGCTTTCTTTTTCCCATTCAAATCGTGGAAATCGAGCTACACGTTTTCCTTTTTTTTTTTTTTGTTCCGTTGCTCTTCTTTTTTGTTGAGTTTAATTTCACTTTTGAAAGGAGCACAAATACAATTGTAAATTGAGGCTTCTTATTGTTAAGGCCTGACTTTTATGTTTGTTCTTGCAAGAGAACTTTGCAATCAAGCGTGTTGAGCGGAATATTAAAATTCAGGGGGTAATGGGTATGAAATGGTTTAAGGTCTGCTTAAGAAGAATTTCAATTTTTAATCACTGAATTATTATAGAATTTATCTTATCCTTGCCTTTCACAGATATTGTATATTTTCCTTGCAATTTCCTAAACATTAAGGCCGTTCCTTGTAAATGCCTTCTTTGACAAAGCAATCACTGTTTATCCTTTGAAAGATTACATTTCATGTACGTTAGTCATGTCAAAGCCCACAATTGACTTTGTCATGCTGCCATGTGAAAGTAAAGTTATTTTGTCTCATTGTTTCTGGTTTGTTTGTTCGACAGATACTGTTTAAGCAATGAATTTCATGATTTCGCAGTTAAGGTCATGGTTGACTTTCTTAGCCTGGCTCACAACGCTTCACCGCATGAAACAATCTGATTTTGTGTAACAATAAACTTTGGCCGAACCATCAATTTGGGCACTCAACTTAAATCGCAGGAGAGGTCTTTATCCCTGTGTATGTGTGTTTTAGCCAAGAACATGGGTTAATGTCACTCAAGTGCGCCGATCGGACGAAAGTTTGAGTGGCTTTATTTGCTTATTCAGAGGAAAGCTCGTTGCCACAGAGGCAAATGTTGATAGAGCACTAACCGAATTTGTAATTTAATTATGATGTTAAGGAACCTGCAAGGGCATTTAAGCCACCGCCTACAAGCCCACACACCAGCTCACATGGCCACCCAATCAGATATATATACATATATATGTGTATATACTTCACGTACACGGGAAGTCAATAAACCCGGCGTGAAGGCAACACGCACCCACTCGTTCTCGAGAACCAGGCTAAACCATAAAATGCCGAAACGGAACAATCAGGGGCTATGCAAATGAGCCAGCTAAGAGGTTACCAGTTGCCAGTTGCTATAGAAGTTAAGTTTCCATATAAAACCACACAATTACACTTCAAAATTTGTACATTATCGCATACGATTTAAAGTAATTTAAGTTTATAGACTTAAAAATTACTTTCTATTTGATATTTTCTTATTTATTAAATATTTAATGGTGTTTTTCTTTTTGTTTTAAGTAAATAATAACTCTTTCAGAGCCAATTTCGTACTCGAAAGACTTTCTTCTATTGTATAAGTAATGAGTGAAATGAACCGAACACTCGGGACCCAACAGCATGAACGAGTTAATTAACTTTGAACCTGAAATTTTTGGCCAAGTGGCTGGGCAACATGGAAACCGCATTAGGCGACCCACAACTAACGATGCTCATTAGGCAACCATCCATCCCACGGCCCACCCCTTTTTTACACCTTTTACACATTTACGTAGTCGCATTTATAATTCACCGCCTTCCCTCGCAATCCGTTTTAACCACACACACACACAACCAACAAATTAAGATCGATTTCAAATGGAAATCATCATTTTACATAACATTAACTAATTAAGCGATTAAGTTGTTATTAAGGAAAGGTATGATTATAAGGACCTTCTGTGATTAATTTTTACACTCCTATATTTGTAGTCAGAGGCTTGTAAATGTTTTTAAAATGTGTCTAAAAGTCTAAAAACTATCTAAAGATTTTTCCCGACAACTTTCGAACTAAACAAATATCATAGCATACTTTTCAGAGCTTCATGCAGAATTTAAATTTTGATTCCCTTCTCGCCACAGATTAAAAGCCGGCTGGAGTAGCTCAAAGACCAGTGAGCCACTGCGACCCGAGGAACAGGAGGCGATCATCTCGGTGATCCGGCGGAATGAGGAAATCGAGGTGGCCGAACGGCAGCGGGTTGGGCGGCTGGTGGAGCGGGTCGAGAAGATCAAGCAGCATGCCGTGGAGCGTGGACCCAATTGCTGTCGTCTCTGTGGCGACACATTCGGCATCCTTCGACCACAGCGCATTATCTGCGAGGACTGCCGCCAGTCGGTGTGTGCGAAGTGCAGCGTGGACATCAATATCCGTTACCATACCAGCGAAAGGTCTCGCGAGATCTGGCTATGCCGCATCTGCTCCGAGACCCGCGAGATGTGGAAGAAGTCAGGCGCATGGTTCTTCAAGGGCCTGCCCAAGTACGATATGCCGCGCAGCGCCAGTGCCACGCCCATTCCCAACCCGGGACCCGGATCCATGGCAGGTGGGTGGCATTATTTCATGTGAGGGTGGTAGTAATGGTGGGTGTAGCAGGGTCCTTGTGAATGGCAGCGAGAGATAGCAGGCACTGGCTAGGACGTGCTAGGAATTTAAACCCTTTGCCCTCATTCCCCCGAAAGTTAAGCTCGATAGGCATTAAGGAATCTTAGGGAAAAGTTCCGTAACGCAAGGACAATAACATTAGTTTACCAAATAAAGTTATGGAAATTTTCCAGATACCAAAGTGGAGTTTCCCTAGATAAGGAAATTACATTTACCAGTAGAATTTTTTCTATAAAATCCTTTAAAGAACTATAGTACGGCATGGATATTTGATTTTGCTTATATTAACATACATTTTTTTAGGAAATTAAAGTTTTGTTCACCTTCCCTTTATCATGGCCAGTGTCAAGGTCAAATATTTTAACGGATACATTCACACAGGAGCTTTCGAGGCCACGCGGCGGCATATTTGCAAAACTTTTTGTTGCCAACATAATTGTTTTATCTCTCGACGAAGGGCACTTAAAGCCAAAATCGAATTCAGCCCAACCTTAACGTATTAAACGTAACCTTTAACCTACAGACTACAAAAATATTTAAGTTAATAAATTTATTTTTATTGGTGGTGAAATGCTGAAAAAGTTAAACACCAACGGAAACACACAAATGGCTTTTAAAAACAGCTAAAGAATTGTTTTCGAATCTCGTTTCAGGAACATCATGAAATGTTTCCATATCCATAGTCCAATTCCAAAAATAAATCGTTATAGACGCTTCTTTATGGTAACCATAATCAGAGCTTCAGCCGGATGGGTTTTTATATCAAAAGTCAAAATATTTGTAGTTCGTTCATAGTCATTTTTACCAATTCCAACAACAACAATTCAATGACAATGAAAATTAATCAAGACACAAGAATTCCCCTCCGAATTCTACTGATGTTTCTCCAATTCCAGCAATAACAGTCATCAGTCGTCGATAAATCGAATCTTTCATTCAGAGCAACATCACTAAATATGTACCTTCGAGTTATCAACGACTATCGCTATTATCATCGTCCGCCCATCGCTATAATCGGTGTTATATCTAGTTTATCGCTTATCGAAAAGATCGCAGTCAGTCCCTAAATTATGATGATCAGTTTTTTAGGTGCATTTCGATTGCTATCGATACCGATACAGCGCAGTCCTATCGCTAATATCGCATCAAACTGAGAATCGGAATTGCACCTTGGCCTATTGTAAAGGTATTGCTTTATTCGATCGAGCACACTCTTGTAATCAAGAAAATCGACTGCCTATCGTTTGACGGCTATCGCTAATCGCTGTATTTGTCATCTCTGTCATCGCAGGAGACACGCGGGCCGTTCAAAGCTGCCATGCGACGCCGACACGTCCAGCGCGGGTGAAGAAGCTCACGATCCGTGTGAACGACAGCAGCTCCAGCAGTAGCGGCCATTCCGAGCCGGAGGACGAGGTGGACGCCGGCGTTGGAGGAATTGGGGGCGGGGGCGTGGCCAAAGGCAGCATATCCTCGGGCCGATTGCAACGGGAGGATAGCTTCCGGTTAAGGGCCTACGGTTCGATACGCAGCTTTATCGATGGCGGCGAGCGAAAGTTGTCCAACTCCTTCTTCTTTGGCCGCCAACAAAGTCAGCGGCCGTCGGAGTGTCCGGAATACGACAGCGTCAGCATGTCAAAACTGAGACGGGAGAGCAGTTTCCTGCGACGCGGCTCCGTTAGCTCTTCCTGGTCGATCAGCGATAGCTCCGGTTCCGGATCCAACAATTCAGGCAACTCCCAGTCGCAATCCCAGTTCCAGCAGCATCAGCAACAGCAGCAACACTGTCGAGATCCACTGCTGGGTTGGCTAGAGATCGCCATTAGCTATCGGGAGGCCTTCCACAGTCTCGACTGCACAATGGTGCGTGCACGGGATTTACCGGCCATGGATGCCGCTGGTTTGGCTGACCCGTACTGCAAGCTCAACATCATTACGCCGGAGGCGCATACCAAGTACACGCGTTGGCAGCGCACAAAGACGGTGCACAAAACTCGGAATCCGGAGTTCAACGAAACACTGCAGTTCGTCGGCGTGGAGCCCGAGGAGCTAGGCAACTCACTGCTCTACGTGGCTCTCTTTGACGACGACAAGTACGGCCACGACTTCCTCGGTGCGGCCAAGGTCTGCCTTTCCACGGTGAGTTTGGGGGGTACAGTGAAAAACAAAGAGTTATTACTTAAGTATAAAGAGTTAATAAGACTTTTTGAAACCACTTACATCTATAAATTATTTATAAACTTGTGGTATTAGTACGGTGTAAGTTCGCCTTTCCAGATTTATCCAAGAGTTTTTCTGACTCAAAATATTCCACTGCATACTTTTAGGCATCTTGATAGGTGGTAGGTCCTAGGGCTGTTTTGGCACTTATATAGAATTGGATATTTGAATATATATAACGAAGTAATTCTTAATTCGCGGTTTTTAGGATATATATTATTATCCAATTAAAAAGTTATAGCACCTAGTTTTCTCCCTGTGTAGCTCTTTGCATCCGTTAGGAAGCGTAATTGCTTATAAGACCCTCCGGCGTATCCTGCTACCAACTGAATTTATGCACAAACGTTGCGGCACAAAGGAATTCGGTTAATTTTGTAAAGCTAAGTACTTCTTACAGTTGGTTACCTTTCGCTGCCTTTTAACTTTTTTTTTGGCTCCAGCAACTAGTAATTGGATTTTCAAATATTTAAACCGGCAGCTGAAGTGGATGGTTAAGACCGTTAAGGTGCCAGAATATGTATTTTGTATAGAGTTAAATATAACCTGAAATATGAAATGAAAATATTAAACCAGTGATTTCCTTCCAGGTGCACAGCACATCGCAGTATCGGATCTCGGTGCCATTGGGCGTGGAGGACCAGTACAGCAACGCGGCGGAGATGGCCCAGAACTGGCCCAACGGCAAGATGCTCCTCTCACTTTGCTACAACACTAAGCGAAGGGCGCTGGTGGTGAATGTGAAGCAGTGCATCAACCTGATGGCTATGGACAACAACGGCAGCTCCGATCCCTTCGTCAAAATGTAAGATATATTTTCTTTAGATTAAATTATCTTTTTAAACATAATTTTATCTTTGGTTAGCCAACTCAAACCGGATGCCCATAAGAACAAGAAGCACAAGACCAGCGTCAAGTGGCGCACGCTCAATCCCATCTACAACGAGGAGTTCTACTTTGAGGCCAGTCCTCATGATCTCAACAAGGAGATGCTCATCCTTACCGTTTGGGACAAGGATCTTGGCAAGAGCAACGACTTCCTTGGCAGCCTGCAACTGGGCGCCCAAAGTAAAGGCGACCGTCTGCAACAGTGGCTCGACTGCATCCGATTGCCGGATCACTTCCACGAAAAATGGCATTGCCTCGCCCCCGACAATCCCGCCCATTGAGTAACCAAACCCCCTCCAAAATCCCCAACTCGATCCACCCCCAAATCCAATCGGTTCGATCTTATCTGAAACGATATGGAAGATTTTTCCTATAAGACACATTTTTACGAACTGATTTCTCAGCCAAGTTAGGTAACCAAAAAATAAGATTACAGAAATGTATATATATTAGTTCGGGAATTTATGGAAATTTATGAAAATTTATTCGGCCTCAGACTTTATACAACCGTTTTTTATTCATATAAATAATAAAGTTTTCTAATCAAATAGATTTGCAACTTCTGTATTTTAAGGAAAGTAGCCTTTATTTATACGATGAGCTTCACCAGAACTTTGCACTCCCATAATTTGTACTTCAAACATTTAATACCTTAACTAATAGTGTAGTTTTTCTTTAAATTACTTAAAAGATAAAAAGAAAACCAACTAAAATCATATAAATAGTAAACTTCTTCGATTTTCGAAACTCAAGAAAAGAACGATTTGTGCAGAGAAATCAGGTCGCGGAAATAAGGCTTTAGCTCCAAATATACACATATATATATTAACATATACATACATATATATATATATATATTATATACATATATTTTTGATAAGCCTGAGTGGGTGTGAGTAAGCAAGAACAAGCTAGAGAGCAAGTGGTATATATAATTGTGTGTGTTTGAGTGACTGCTTTCCAAAATCTCGTACGTAACCCCAATTTTCTATGTCTATACTTTGGCTCTTAACGACATTTTTGTACACTGTATATAGCTTGTTTAAGTGTCCTTACCAAGGGTTAACCAACATCAAAATCTTTTCGATTCATTGCTAAATTCAATCTATAATCAAACGTATACTTATGTACTTCAATATATCGAAATATATACATCTATATTCCCAAAAAAAAAAGGTTCTTTTACTTGGGAATTTTAAAATGGGAAAACAACAGAACATAATTTAACATAAATAAATCATACAAAAACAAACTTTAAGGTCTCAGAGGAAGACTTTCTTTTAAGTTTATAACCAATTTTCAGCCTGAAACTACTTGAAATAAAATCTAGCAACATTTTTCCCAATACATGGCTTTAACAAAAGCTTTCTGACCGCTCCCGAAAAGCTCGTCGACCACCCTTATGAAAAAGAAATGAGCCAATAAACAAAAATCCATTGCAATTGATAGGCAACGAGAACGTATTACATTTTTAGTGAACTGATAAGACAGAAAGCCCTTTCCAGAAACTATTGATAAGGTTTAACCTCCACCAACAACACCATAGAAAATCCCTTTGAAATCGTTTTTCATTCAGTTTCAGTTCACATTTAATAAGTTTGGCAGAGTTTTAAAAAGTTGAAGCTAGCTTCATCATTGTAGTAAACATCCAACACTATACAAATAGAGATTAACATCTATGTACAGATATAGAGTGCCAAATAAGTAAGCGGCCAATCGATGCGTTGCGCTCGATTTGGATAGATATATATGTTTGGATGTATGTATATATAGCAAATATATGAAGATTACATATTTTCTATACAGATCAAATAGTCTGTAAACACTTAATATTAGGATTCTGCCTAACAGACAGATGGATAAGGTATACACATGTATGCGGGCGATTCGAGGTAACCTCCAGCGCCACCAAAAACGAGGGAATCTATATATCGGAATCGTAATCGTTAACATTGGCGATTCTAACGAGAGACTTAACCTAACACTGGTAAATTTCAAGGGGGGGAAAGAGGGGTGCCCTATCCGAGCGATCGATAGTTACACTGCAATCCTCACTTGCGATCGAATAGGCGGGTGTAGTCGAGCAGGTTGCCTGCTCCAGGTCGGTGGCGATGTTGTTGTTGTTGCTGCTGATGGTGGTGCTGCTGTTGCTGTTGCTGCTGCTGCTGCTGTTGGACAGGGGCAGCCACTCCTCCGCTGCCCATTTCCATTGCAGCCGTTGTCGTATGTTAGAAGAGACGCTTCTCGTAACTGAAGAGGCCGTGAACGTTGCCTTCCAGCTGTGCGGAATGGGTGCGCTTCATGAAACGCAGTTGGCCATTGTAGATCATATCCCTGGGGGGTAATAGAATACAAGTTTAGAATATGCTTGGGAAAGAAGATTCCTTTGACCATACCTCAACTTATTAATCGAATTGGCACCAATGTCCTGACAGCTGTGCTGCAATCCGCACTCCAAATAAGGCAGATAGCGCAGAACACTGCCCTTGTCCACGATACTGCCACTGACGCCCTGTGCCACCTTCATCTTGTCCATTTCGTTGTGGTAGTAACGTGACATGGCTGCGCCCTTGGCATCGCCACGCTCCATGGCCTCCAGTGAGCCCATGCCGCGGTACTTCTTAAGACGCACTCCATCGGAGAAGAAGTATTCGCCGGGTGCCTCAGATGTTCCGGCAAGCAGGGAGCCCATCATTACAGCACTAGCTCCCAAGGCAATCGCCTTGACAATGTGTCCAATTGACTGGATACCACCGTCAGCGATCACGGGCACTCCGAACTGGCGGGCGTACGTAGACACCTGGTAGACAGCCGTTGCCTGAGGACAGCCGCAGGCCATCACCTCCTGGGTAATGCAGATAGAGCCAGAACCCATGCCGACACGAAGTCCATCGACACCAGCTTCGATGAGATTTTTGGCCTGGGCACGGGTTACCACTGGAAAACAGATTAATTAAATGCATTTTTAGTGTTATATTTTCTAAAGTTAAAAAAATTCTTATGTAAATATTTGGAAAACTAACGAAGAGTCCCTGTGGTTGTATATATTTTAGACTAATTAGAAAACAAACACTATCTTGGTTGCCAAATACCCATCTCGCGATATCAAAGATAACAATATGGTTGAATCCCATTATTATTGCAACCATAATAAGTACTTGATCATGACAAAATTAGCCATAGCGGTAGATAATGGTAATGTTAATTGCTCTCAAAACTAAATTATACATTTTTATCTATAAGCTTTTTTTACAGATTATCTATATCAAATATGTTGTGTGTTCTTTTTTAATACTAGAAATTTAAGATATTCCAAACATGAATCTTTACTTTACAAGCAAAGATTGTATTCATTATCTAGGTCTTACTGTAAAAGACTAAGCAAAACATAAAAAATGCATTCAGACAGGCGAATGAGCTGTCTAGACTGTTGACCCTCAATAATTTTACGTTATTTTTGGGAAATGCTCTTTTCTTGAGTTTTTTACTTATAGAATAAAATAAACAAATTTTGTATAATTCTTATTTTCCTAGAGGATTGAAATTTTCGAAGTACGTCGCCTGCACTTTACATGCTTATTAGCAAAAAAGAAAAGTATGCAATAGTTTTAAACAAATATTACAGTTTTGACTTGAACTTTAACACGGACTCACCATTTCCTCCTATGACCTGGAGCTCGGGATAGGTCTCCTTCATGTACTTGATCATCTCCACCTGGTAGACGGAGTTGCCCTGCGAGGAATCAAGAACGATGACGTCCACGCCGTTGGCCACCAGCAGAGCCAGACGCGCCTTGTCCTCGGATCTGGTTCCAATGGCAGCGCCGACGAGAAGCTGCTTATTGGAATCCTTAGAAGCATTCGGGTAGGAGCGAGCCTTCTTCAAATCCGTCCTGGCAATCATGGCCACCAGTTCACCGGCCTGATTAATAATCGGCAGCTTTCCCTTTTTGCTCTTCTCAAGAATAGCATTGGCCGTGGGAAGATTGATGCCATTGGGGGCAGTAACCAGTTCTGTGGTCATAATGTCGGCCAAAAGGACCTCCGGTTGATTCTCACGGAAGTCAATGTCTCGGGATGTGACCATGCCCAGCAGCTTGCCGCCAAGTTTGCCGTTTTCGGTGACCGGATAGCCAGTGAATCCGTTCTTACGACGCGCCTCCAATACATCCCCCACCGTATTTGTGGGCGACATTACCGAGGGGTCGCGCATGAAGCCGTGCTTGTACTTCTTAACCTTGTGCACCTCCAACGCCTGGTATTCCGGCGTGCAGTTGTGATGGATGATGCCAATGCCACCACACAGCTGCGCGCGGGATTCGAATGGTTTTTTTTTTTTTTTTTTTTTGGATTGTGAATAGAGTGGATGGTGGACAGAAACATTGGCGGTTAGAGAGGCGCATAAGAGTGTTGAGTTACAACCACAGGCTAGCACAGCTCAGGCGAACCCGCCAGCGGTTCTGGGCCGTAAATTAAAGGGTACATAGAATACGGATTCTGTATAATCCGATACTTACCGCCATGGCGATGGCCATCTCCGATTCGGTTACCGTGTCCATGGGCGAACTAACCAGCGGTGCCCGCAATGTCAGCGACTTGGTCAGCGGTGAACTGAGATCAACCTCCTCGGCAGTGAAGTCTATGTAGCCGGGTAATATGAGAAAGTCGCTAAGGGATTGACGGGATTTTTCGGAAGGGGTAATGTCATGAGATTTGATTTCGGACAGTCTAGCAGCGAGCCATTTCAACACTTACTTGTAGGTGAGTCCATCACCGTTCTGGAATAGTTCCCGAATACTAAGACCATCTTGAAGGTTTTCATCTACCGTGTTGGCAGAGGAACCCTTGTTTTGGGCTCCACCAGCGGCTGCCGCCAAATCCAAAAAGCCATTCACCTTTGGCTTGCTCTCCATTTTCCGCGTGCGTTCAACCCAAACAGTCAACAAACAACGGGGAGCTGACAAAAACAAGCCAGATAGAGATAAACACCGCCGGTTTTTGGATGGTCTCCTGTTGCAGTTCTATTTGGTTTTTTCCCCCGGTTTCGGATTGGCACTGTATGCAAATACAAATTCCTTTGGAAGCTTTTGAGACGCAATTAGGGGCACATATACAGACACAGCAAGAAAAAGTTGGAGAGCACAGCGGAGAAAGACAATTGATATAAAGAAAAAGGTTAATTGCTGGGCTAAGACTCGGTCTGATTGGGCTGGATTGCCAGCGAGCACATGGTTTCGCCTCTTACCAGTCCCCTGGAGTCCAAGTTCCGCGTGCTTACTGCGCGAAAGAAGTTCGTGAAGTGGTGTGACCCACGAGCGTCTGTTTAAATATACTCCCGGCCACCAGGAAATCCACTAAATTTGGCTATAAAACGTCTGCGCAGGCTTCAGTTAAATATGTATTTTGAAGTGCAGCCACACTTGACCGCGCTGTCAAATGATTTTAAATTTTAATTAAAATATTTTTATTTACCTATTAGAAATATTTAAAAGGAAATGTCTTAATAGTATTATCTTGTTTTTCAATGCATATTAGGAGTAAAATCCTAGAAAACGTCTTTCCTTGAATATGTTGTCTATACTTTTATGGACTTATTCATGTTATGATCATGTTATACATATGCGTGTTAAACAACTTACTTGCTTACTTACTTACTTGACACCTAATTTACCAATATTTCCACTTTCATTGATTTAGCCGTTTTTTCAGCTGTCAGGTTTTTATTCTTAAGGGCGAACGTTATCGAAACTGCACTAAAATATCGAATATGCCCTTATGAGCTATGCCCTGGCGGAATATTACCATCACTAGTCTGCTAGAAGGTAGCCATAGTAATATCAGTGGATTACATCTCGGTGAAGAACCTGGCTAAATATGTTACATTAATAATATTGACAGTTAAACTTCTTTCGATTTAAGCTCTAATTTGTTATATTTCTACTTTCAATAAATATATGGAATTTAACAAAATCCTTTTTATATATTCCCAAAATTGTATTAAGTGTGAGTGCTTTCAGAATTAAAGTCTTATATAATTGTTTATATGAAGATCTTAGTCATACATATATTTATGGTTACTGTTATTTAATATAACTTAATAAAAACAAGTTACATTAAATAACAGTAAGTATAAAAATATGATTAAAGTCTTCATATAAACAATTGTATAAGACTTTAATTTTGACAATTTGACAAGCAAGATATGTACATTTTTCAAGCAACCATGTGCTACTCTATATCCAATTGGATTGTTAGAGTTCAGGCATTTTGTGGAGTTTATAGGGTCATATTACAAGTAAAGTTAAACACATATTTATTCTCTTAGTTCACACTAAGAATTTCCCTGTATTAACTAAACTATTGTTTAAAATAAAATCTTAAAATATTGCTCCAATACTATCGCTATTACTTTAGACCCACATCACGTGTTGTGACTGGTAATCGATAGTACCATCGACGCGGTCACATCTCTAGGCAGCAGCGCCTCGGCGGAACAGCGGTTTAGATGCTCTTTGGCGGTTGGCGCCGCTTGACTTGCCAGTGTGTAACTCTCCAGGCCGAGTGTGTGTGTGTGTGTAGTGGTTGTGCTAGCAGAGTTGTTGCAGAAACTAACTAAAAAAGAAAAACAAGAGCAGCAGCCAAGTTAAACCGAGGTGAACAAACAGAAAACACAGAGAGAAAAAAAACATAAAACACACCGGGACTTCATAGCTAAGTAAAATAGCACGATAGCCAAGCGAGTACGGGTTTTTTTTGCTCTTCCTCTTTCACATACATGCGTACCTGGGCAGAGATTCAGATTTACCGCCGCCCCCAACTCAATCATCAGCCGCATCGCCAACGTCGTTGTTGTTGCTGTCGTTCCGCCGTCGCTCTCACGTAATCTGCCCCCGCACCACCCATTCCACAAACTTATAGACCGAAAATCGATTAGCGGCCTCTCTTCCTTTTCTACAACTCTTCGGCGTTCGCTCGTTCGTGTGTTTGTGTGTGCGTTGCGTTACGTTACGTACGTTACGGTTACCGTTACGTCGCCCGCGCGCGTGTCTATGCATATATATATTTATATGTGTGCGTGTGTGTGCAAGGTGTGGTGTGTATAGAAAATCGATTGGCAATTTGAACCGAGCTATCGTCGCCGCACTCGCCGCGTGTGTGCCGTTACGCGATTTTCAACAGCAGCCGCGCAAGTAATTTATTGCTTTTATTTTTTTGCCTGTGAGTCCTCTTAAGTGAGTGTGACCGCGAGACAGCGAGATAGAGAGAGAGCAATATACAAGCTCTCAAAAACCTCTAAAAAAAAATTTAAAAAAAAAAAAAAACACCGGACATGGATAAATCAGCGGCCACGAACTCGGCCACTGCCGATGGCCAAAACGAGGCAACAGCAGCAGCAGCTGGGTGTGGCAGCAGCAGCAACAACAGCAGCAGCAGTGGTAGCAACACCACCACCAACAGCAACAACGCCTTGCAGCGTTTAGCAACAACAACAAGTGCCGTAGTGGCATCCCCAATGACGACGATCAACCTGAACATCAGCACCACCACCGGCGGCAATTTCGGCGTCAGCGTCGAGCCGCATATCAGTGTTGAAAGTCTGAAGAAGATCATCGCCAAAAAGCTAAAGGTGGCCAAGGATCGCATCTGTCTGCTGCACAGAGAAAAGTGAGTACAATTGGGTATTTTGGGTAGTAATTCTCCATGTTATATAGGGTTCACTTATACAGTAAAGTTAAATTTGAATGAATTTAACAGTTTCCATAGCAAAACTTTGATAAAATGTTCTTTTTTGAGTGGGTAATCGTCAAGGTACATGGTATTATTTTATAATTTTAAGCTGAAACTTCTCTCTGACACTGAACTCCAATCTAAATACTATTTAATAACTTTCTAGACTGTGTAGAGAAACCAATTGTGTTGCAAAACCTTTTTGAAAAATCAATCAATTTTTACTGTTAGATTCGTCATTTATCAAACAATTTAACATTTTCCTAAGCTTATACTCAATAGTAATCGATTTACATACTAGAACTCCCACTTTTTGTAACACTCTCCCAATTATATTATATTCAATGTGCAAATCTCAACCCCTGAGAAAAATGTTGGGGTGGTGTTTGGACAAGTGTGCCACTTGCCATGAATATCTTGCGATTGCGTCAATGAGGTAATATCTCACACAGAAGAAATAACTGATAAATGCTAATGATAATGTTTCGAAATGGAATTTTATCATGCGAGTGGAGGTGGAAAGTTCAGTTTGATTATTATTAATTTTTCTTTGAAATTCCCAATCAATGAATAACCGCGCTTATAAATTCAACATTCAATTTTAATACTCTTAAAGATTGGAATTTCTTTTTTAAGCAACTGTTTGTGTAGCAATTTCTTTAACTTGTTTTTAAATCTGACAAATCGGATGGTTATATATCAAGAATTCGTTTAAATTTTCTATAGTTTTATTGTTGTTGTTGGGACTTTAAGGTATTGTTATAACGGCGTATCTACCTTTTGTTCATTTGAATATCCCTCTGTTATTTTTAGAGCTGTGTTTAGTTAAATGCTTTTGATTATCGTTTATGTTATCTTCTTTCTTGGCACTACACCGCCCTCTCCCTGTTTTCTAACCCCTTTGTCTAGTTTTGTTAGAGCGAGAGGGAAAGAGAGCTTTGTTTTTAGTCGCTAAGCTGCCATTGTTTAGTTGATTTGCTTGCCGTTCTCGTTATTATTATGATTATTATTGATATAACCTCCAAAATAATGGCATGTTTGAAGGGTTAAGCACAAAGTGCTCGAGTGTGGCTATGTGTGTGTGGGAAGTGGTTACCAATTGATCTAAACGTATACATACACACACGCACACACACATACACGGTCTGCCAGCGATTTCATAATCAATTTGTTATTTATACAAAACAACGCAAAAAAGGCAATATAAAAGTGTACAAAAAATGTGCGCATAACACAAAACCGGCAAAAAAAAAACGGTACAACAAAAAAACCAAACAAAAACAGAAGCACAGGCAGAGACAGAAAATGAAAAGTCAAAAGGAAAAGGAATAAGAGAGGAAGGCAGCGCAGCCAGCGTCAGCGTCATTGTTCCAACTAGTTGCATTGCTCTGTTAAATGTTAAATGTTAACAACTGCAAATGTTAATGTTAGTGGAGCTGTTAGTGCTACTAACGCTGTTACTGTTTACCAAAAGATTTCCGGATTTCAAAGTTAGGTTGAACAACTTTTGATTGATTTTAAAGTTTATAAATGAAAGTTTATTAGGTTTTTGAAATAAATATTTTAAGCCATTTTTCAACAGCCTGTTTACCTTTATTTTATAACTTCAATAACAGTTATTTTCCACAAGAATTGTTATTACTTTCTTGGTTGCATAATTCTTTAAACTGTCTTTGATTTCGGTTTGGTAAGTCCTGACAAATAGGAATTAGTTACAGTCAAAAGTTGTTTTTGAAGGGCCTGCATTCCTTTGGCTTGGTTTTTGTTGTATTTGTGTATGTGCATTGCGTGTGCATATGCATGTGTGTATTGGTGCATTACAGAGGCTTCACAATAATGCGGGCTTCTCTCTTGTTTTCCTTGTCCTCCACCTCCGCTCTCCGCCTTTGGCCTTTGCATCCCGCTCTCTGCTGCATTTATTTCTGCAAATAGATTTCTAATTGAGAGGAGTTACTGCCCTTCCCCTTTTTTTCTTCTTTTCTGCCTGCTTCGCCTTTGTCTGGCTTTTATTAAAATAAAAAAAAAAACTTGACTGATAAGAATTTCACTTGCTTCTTCTTCTCCGGCTCCTCTTACTGCTCTTTCGCCGTGTTGTTGCATCTGTTTTATGCCACTTTGCAGCAAGCAACAAAAGCAAATGGGCAATGGCGTCACGGTTTTTTTTTTACTCTCATCTCTTATGCCGCTTGGTTTTTTGTTGTTGCTTCCACTTGAAGTTCTTTTTCATCTTCCTCTGTGTTCCTACGCGTGTGTGTAAGTGTGTGTGTGTGGCAGAGATTTTTGTGCCCGCTTCTTTGTTCTGCAATCAAATTGCTTCTTCTTCTTGTTCCTTCTCCTCTCCTTCATCTTCTCCTTCTATCCGCTCCCCCACTTCTTCTTCTTTGATGATGATGATGATGATGATGTTGGCAGGCTGCGCTTATCGGACATTCGGAAAATGGACTCTCCTCGTCGCTGCTTCGTCTTCTTCTTCTTTGTCTGAATGTCATATGTTGGCTTATAACCCTAACAACAACAAAAGGAGCAGAAACCAGAAGAATGACAAGAAGCAGAGCAGAAGAAGCCATAGATGCCACCCCCGCCAAAAAATGAAGTACATATGGATGTATATATATATATATGTGTGTGTATAGACCGATGCGGAAAACCTACCACCCGGCCTAAGCATAGAAAAAAAAAGGCTTTTGGTAAAAGCTTATTCACACCACCAATTCTGTGAAATATCCCAAAAGGAAGAAAATCACCCGCCCGCAGAAAAAGCCGAAACAGAAGTGGAGAAAGAAGAAGCCACCACCAGCTAAAAGAAGAAGTGGCAGAAGAAGTGACTTACACTGGTAAAAAAAAAGCAAATGCTTAAACTGAAGATGTAACCAGCATCCAGCAGAATGGACTAAAAGTGGCCAAAATGTATAACTAAAACGGAAACAGAATACAATAGCCAATAGAGAGAGGTTCAGGTTCGATGCCCTCCGCTGACCAATAAATTTTTATATAAATATCATTCAAAAATCAAATTAAAACGTTTAAAAATCTGCTTCTAATATCTTTTGGCATCATGAAAAGTAACATATTTGTTACATAAGCTTTTCTTTCTGTGTTTGGGCAGCGAAAAGGCAAAAATGTTGCACACATCAGTGAATGAGAATGAGTACTTCGTGCTGCATGCAAAGTCACCACCATCCTCCTCTTTGTTAAATGAATGACGAGAGGCGTCCAGACACCACCAAACGTGAATCTCCAGGTCACCATATTCATATCACTGGCGTGGAAAAAAGGTGGTCGACCACAAGGAAACTGGCCAAATGGAAAATATGGTGGAAAACCGGGAGAGTATATCTATCTATCTGTCCAACCCTTTAAAACCACGTGGTTGCCATGATGATGCTTAGGCTATGGACTCTATTCAAAGACTTTTATAGCAGATATAAGAAAAAAAACATTTCAAAGAAAGTATCGCATTTCAAGCTGTTAACGTTAACAATTAAAAAATCGTTTATTTTTAATTAAAAGTCTCGTATGCGATACTATTTTTTTTTTGGGGGAATTTTAAAGAGCTGGTTCTAATAACGTTTTAAATATATATAAACCAGATAAAGCCGTAGCTAAAGCCCATTAAAAATTTACGTTCCTTTGTCTTTTGCAACATCAACCCTTTTTGAACACGTGGTGGTGGTGAAAGAAACCTGAACTGGACTGTTTCCATATAAACAAGAAACCGGATTTCGAGTCAAACCTATACAAATGTAACATAATATTGAAGTACTCTTATAGTGGGAAACCCGAAAAGCTAATTATATAGATGCGCTGTGCTCGCAGATTGAATAAAACGGATTAAATTGCGTAAATCAGATATAGCACTCTAGAGTTTAACTTAATTAGTTATATTAGTATAGCTCTATGTATTATGTGAACAAATCATAGAGAGAAGAGGGAGAGAAATCATTTCGTATCAGAATAATGCAAACAGATTAGATCTCCCCGTTCCTATCAGACTAGCCCTAGCCCCTGCCGCCGGTGTTTCATTCCCCCGATTAGTAGTGGCGCACTTCCAAGGTGTGTGCTATATGGGTATGACATAAGCCCAAACCCGCCCCATACATACATATATATATATATAAATGTCACCTTAGGGTTCTTCAGATAGAGCTACGTAATTGTATGAAACGCAAAGCACACGCAAAAACAAAAAACCTCCCACCTCCCATGATTTCGCTTGGCCCTGGGGCCTGTATTATCAACAGTTTTAATTTTAGTATGCGCTTTTTCTTCGTCTCTCTCTCTCTTTCTCTGTTCATAATTTTAATTTTAAGGCAAGAGGAAATAGGTAATAGGTGGGGGCATCGGAAACGGTGATGTTTTCGGTGCCTCATTGCCCATATAGACGTCATCAGCCAGCGAACTAGCGGCGCGTGTGCTTTTACCTTCTGCTAACAGTCTAGCCTGTCTAACTTGAACTATAAGTTATAAACTAGAAAGATAGATGAAATATCATAGCCATTTAATAGGTTTTTTATTTAAAATATATCTTTGGATAAGTTAAATCTATTTTATTTGAATTTCTTATAGATGAGATGGCCAATTATCATCGTAAATGGTGACTTATAATATTTAAAATGAAAAATATTAAAAAATCATTCCATTTTCAATAGAATTTTTATATTTGAAGAGCATTTTAGATCATTATTTAATCTTGGTTATTGATCATAAATTAGCTTTATGCTTATAATTTAGATTTTAGTGTGGCCTTGCGCGCTCGCACATGTTGAGTTTTGGCTTTCTACGCGTGTTGAGTTGAGATGCCTACTGAGTTGAGTTTCTTGGGCCAAATGGTGGATTTTGACCGCGTTTTTATTTTTTTGGGGCTTGACTTTAGTGGCTCTCTCTCTGTGGCCGTCCCCCTTGCACCGCATGTACCCATCTCACTCAGGTTGTACTGC